ATAATGTGCTTATCCTTTGCCCCAGCAGCAGCACTTCTAGGGCTGTATCCCCAAGAAATCATACAAATGGGAAAAGAACCTACAGGTGTAAAAATATTTATAGCAGCTCTTTTTGTGGTGGCAAAGAATTGGAAATTGAGGGGATGCCCATCAATTGGGGAGGAGCTTAACAAGTTGTGGTATATGAATGTAATGGATGGTGCTATAAGAAATGATGAGCAAGTGGACTTCAGAAAAACCTGGAAAGACTTGTATGAACCGATGCTGAGTGAAGTGAGCAGAACCAGGAGAACATTGTATACAGTAACAGCCACATTGTGCTATGACTAACTTTGATAGACTTGGCTCTTCTCAGCAATGCAAGGATCTAAGACATCTTCAAAAGTCTGATGATGGAAAATGCTATCTGCATCCAGAGAAAGAACTATGGAGTTCTATGCAGATCGAAGGATACTATTTGCTTTTTTTCCTTCTGTTTTGTTTTATTTCTTCTTTCTTGTTGTCCACCTACTGGTTCTAATTTTTCTTTAAACATGACTAATGTGAAAAAAAAAAGTCTTCCTGAAGAAGGTGAAATTTGAGCTGAGTCTTGAAGGAAGTCAGGGAAACTAAAAGATGAAGGTGAGGAGGGAAAGCATCCCACGCATGGGGGATAGCCAGTGCCAAGGCATGGAGATGGCAAATGAAGTAACAGATATAATAAACAGTTAAGTAGGCTCAGGTAGCTGTATGGAAGAGTGCATGAAGAGTAAAGGACAAGAAGCCTGGAAAAGAGGGAAGGAACCAGGTTATGAAGAACTTTATACCAAATAGAGGACTTTATCCTGGAGGTAAATTGGATGGCACCAAGCAGTAATGCCTAATGTTTTTGTTTGTTCAATGCCTTTCAACAACCAAAAAAATGTGATGTGAACCCCCAGGGTAATTTAATAAATACTCAAAATATTATTTTATATTAAGTGCTTACAATAATTACAATGTTAACTTTTGTCCAAAAAAGCTCCAAATTAAAATTCATGTTATATAATTATAAAATATTAAATTTTATTCCACCTATATTAATGAAATCCTTAAGCATAAAGTTAAAAAACTTTAACTGTAAAATAATTATGAGTATTTTATGTGGGACATCGTGTAGGAATTAAAAGAACTAATCCAGCAAAACCTTAAATGCTTACTAATCCAGCAAAACCTTAAATGCTTACTATAACCTGCAAGTCTTTATATTAAATTTTTATATTTTGTAAATTTCATTTAATAGAAATAATATACCAATAGTTGCCAAGAAATGAATTTTTTTCATTTTTAGCCACCTGATTGATGAAAATGAATAGCTACTTATGATGTAAAATATTTACTTTTCTACTAGCTAACAACAAGAGCTGTATTGTGATAAGTGTACTTAAAGTTCAATTTCATATTTTGCTTTGTTTTTAACAATGTTTATATATAAGGAAAGAATCTCTTCAGATGTGACTGTCTTCTTTTCTACCACTGGCACACTAGCTAAGCTCTCACAAAAATTCTGCTGACCAGTGCTGTCACCTAGTTCACTTAAAAACATTAGATTGAATAGTAACGTAACTGTAGGTTAAGTTTAAATCAGAAAACAGCCTTACTGCTTCAATGAAAGAAAATATTAGGTTTGTTTCTGCAGAATGTCTGCGATGGTCAATGGTAATTTCAAGGTAGCTTGTAATACACTTGCCCAGGCTTGGTTTCTCAAACAGTCTGACATTTGCATTGCAGGAACATAATGTTCATAACATCTGGATCACATGATTATAATAGCCGATGAGATACAATTACAGAGTAACACAGGGCAAGAAGGGAGCTGATTTATTTAAGTGTACAGAATGCAATGAGAGTATGCACATGAATTTGATCATACACTGGCAATTGGTTTGTGCTTGAAAGTTGAACCATTGTGGCAATTTGGGAACAATTTGATGACAAGCTGAGAAACTGCAAGAACAGGTTACATTTAATCAGAAGTGGCAGAGTTTTATGAAATCACACCATGAACACCAAAATCATTGTGAGCATGATCATTACAGTTTTGAATTCCTGTAGAAACAAACATATAATGCACCAAACGCAAACATGCTTGTTGTCAAAAAGAAAAAAATATATTTATGACATAATTGGGCAATTACTATTGCTTAAGGCACCACTAAAGAATCTGTAGTCTTAACCTCTTGAACTATCATCATGAACTCTCAAGGGGTTCACAAACCACTAAATGGGAAGCACTGAACTATAGTTTACTGAGGTGAGGAGACTGTAACATGATTACAGCTACACTTTAGGGAAATCACTTTGGTAGCTAAGTGGGAGATGTTTTGGGGTGGGGAGACACCTGTGGTAAACAGACCAATTAGAAAGCTATTGCAATAGGCCAGGCAAGAGTGATGAGGGCCTCAACTAGGGTGGTAGCTATGTAACTAGAGAGACTTATACGTAAGAGACTCATAAGATTTTTCAATAAATTGGATATGTTGGTAAGAGACATAGAGAATGGCACTGAGATTGAGACTGGGTGAATAGGAGGATGATGGTGTTCTCAAGAGTAATAAGGATATTGTAAGAGGAAAGTGTTTGGGGAGTAAGATAATGAGTTCTGTTTCAGACATTGAGTTTGAGATACCTATGATACATCCAGAGTTTGAAATGTCCAAAAGGTAATTGATGATGAAAAACTTGCTCAAATTCTTGAGCAAGTTTTTCATCATCAATTACCTTGCTGGCTGAAAATATAGATCTTGAAATCTGCCTAGAGATGATAATTGAATCCAGTTATTTATCTGTATATATAATGTTTCCCCTAAGTAGAATATAAACTTGTTGCAGGAAGGGACTATTTCAGTTTTGTCACTATATCTCCAGTACTCAGCACAATGCCTAGCACACAATAGGCAAAACACTTAAATGCTTATAAAATTGAACTGAAGGGTTATCATGTGTAATTGGGGTTTGACCTGTTTTACATTATTCCGGAGGAAAGATTAATGTTATAAATTAATGTTACAAGTTGAATAGAGGTAGATTTTGGCTTCACGTAATTAACTTTCTGTATGGAATGTATGTCTCACAAAGGAATGAGCAATTATTCAATTATAGGTTGGATGGCTATCTGTTAGGCAATCAAAGGGGTGAGAGCGTTTTGGAAGGTCAACAAGATGATCTGTAAGGTTCCTTTCAACTCTTTGATTCTGTGACTCTCTATTTGTTATATGTGAACCCAAAACCTTCATGGAATTCTAATCCCCCTATCTTATTCTGTGCTTTTGTTTTCCAGTTAAATTACTGGTTTTGTTCTGAAATCATCAAAGAAATATGAACACGTCACACAATTAAAGGTACAATGTCCAAATAGAGTGTTTCCTTTAGCAGGACAATGTCTTTGTCAATCTAAATGGTTAAAACCGATGCATAATTGTTATAAGATCCTGATTTGGGGAATGGGAGCATTTTCATGCTCTTCTTGAGGGGAATATAAGCACTAGCATGCAGTATTAGAAGAATCATGGAATTTTAGAATTAGAAGGGACATTTGTGGTCAACAAGTACTTACAACATACACCTAATGCAGGAATCCTTTCTCCAACCTCACCTTTGCAAACATAGCTACATACTGCTTTAGTCTTAGGTACTTATGTAGCATTTTGAAATCTTAAAACTTTCCAAAATGCTTTATTAAACTCTAAACAATGTTAATCCCACTATGTATTGAATTGTTTTAAAAAGTTTACCTTCAAACAGCCTTGCCTATTTGGGCTGCTACCTATTCAACACTTAGCACATTATAGATGCTCAATATTTAGCCAGAAATGAAAATTCAAACTTTGTAATACACCTCATTCAGACTCTCTTGCCTTGATGATAATGTTTATTCTTTTTTCACCCCTTGGAAGACTAAGGAAGAGGCACAATCCCTGCTGCACATCATCCTGAGTTTTTAAATAAATGTGACGCTCACATATGCAGAATAACAAGGGGGCTGATTATATTGAGTAACTTTTTTTTTAACTGATTAACTTTTAATAACCTTTTTTCCAGGTGCAGCAAAGGAACAAAGGCTAGAAGTTTCATCATCTATTAACTTAATAAAAATGAAGACCACCTTCTTGTGGAAGCAACATAAAAGAAATAGTGAAGGGAATGTCAACAATAATATTAACTAAGAGTGGTGGTTGCAATACACTATAACAGCCCAAGTTCATAGGCAGAGAAAAGCAATGGGAGATAGGAGATATATGAAGGATAATGAAGATAAATGAAGAATAACTGGGAACATTCTAGGTAGCCAGCTATTCATAATGCATGAAATCATTGCTCCACTGAGAATTACTTAGCTGCCTTAAAGTACCTTCTTATGAAAAAAAAATCTAAAAAGGATGTATAAACTCATGCTTAAGTAGGTGAGGCCTTACTCTTGTCTGCTCTGATTGGAATGAACATTCTGTTTTGGTGAATTCTACTCTGTTTGAACTTTATTATTAAGATCATAGTTTGGGGAAGCTAGGTGGCTTAGGGGATAGAGATCTGGCCTTAGAGTAAAGAGGACCTGAGTTCAAATCCAGCTTCAGACAGTTAACACTTAACTAGCTGTGTGATCCTGGGCAAGTCACTTAACCCCAAATGCCTCACCGAAAAGCAAAAAAAAAAAAAAAAAATCATAGTTTATATTTGTATAGGGCCCTATGGTTTACAAAATACTTTACATACATTATCTCATTTAATCCTGTCAACAATCCTGTGATATAGGTATTGCAACTGTAATAATCCTTATTTAACAAATGAGGAAACTGAGGCTCTGCTAAAAGTCACACAGCCAGTAAATGGAATATTCAGGGCTCCACACCCACCAAATTTTAGGAAGGAATCCATTTAGGGATTTTTTTCAGGGGAACAAAATAATATTCAAATGGTATATATTGAATTTCCACCTTCTGATTGAATTTAAGGGGTAAAAAAATATTTTCCCGCTCCTTACTTACTATGGGAAAACAATATCCTGGACAGCACCACTGTGACAGGTAGCAATGAGTTCTTCTTTAAAATCAGTGCAACTGAGGCAATAAATGTGGGCTGCTTCTGTTCCAGCAAAGAACTGGTGCCCTTGACCTCGAAGTGCAATGGAGGTGATTCCGCCTTGTAACTGAATTTTCCTTTAAAAAAAAGAACAGTAATGTTTTTAATAGGCATAAATGTATTTTAGCAAAAGCTTTTTCTGCATCTATTAAAAGAATCACACGACTTTTGTTACTTTTGTTATTGATATAATCTATTATGTTAATAGTTTTCCTTATGTTAAACCATCCCTGTATTCCTGGTATAAATTCCACTAGGTCACAATGTTTACTACTCTTTGTGATATGTTGTTGTAGTCTCCTAGCGAGTATTTTAGTTATGATTTTTGCATCCATATTCTCTAATGGAATTGGTCTATAATTTTCTTTCTCTGTTTTTATTCTTCCTGGATTAAGTATCATTACCATATTTGTTTCATAAAAGAAGTTTGGTAGGATTCCTTCTTTGTCTATTATTCCCAATTCCTTGGTCTGCTCTTTCTCTATTTTATTAATATAAGCATTTAAAGGTATAAATTTTCCCCTAATTACTGCTTTTGCAGTATCCCATAGATTTTGATATGTTGCCTCATTGTCATTCCCTTTAATGAAATTATGGTTTCTATGATTTTTCTTTAACACACTCCTTCTTTAAGATTAGGTTCTTTGGTGTCTAGTTTTTAATCTGTGCTGGGGGGAAGAGCGGAGGTTAGCAATAGTGATACAAAAAAAAAGTCATTGAAACACTTTTTTTAAATGTACAGAAAAGAACAGAAGGAAGTTCAGAAGGAAACAGAAACAGGACAGTTTCAAAAGTAACATGGGGAATGTATTGTATACTTTTTTTTTAAAGAAAAGTATGAAATGGAGATTCATAGTTTCACATATAGTTCTTTGTGTTCTGCTATGTATATGGAAATGTTCTTTTTTGGTATTTAAATTCAGAATTTTAAAAAGTACAATTAATTTTTAAAAATTAATCTTAGATTGTTATTCAGAGTGAACTAAAAGAGGGATAGGCTGAAGGCAGAGAGATAAACTGTAAGACAAATATAACATGTAGTCTGAGTAAGGAATGATGAAAGTGGACTTTTATTACTGACAAATAACAATGAAACTATTGACTAGGACCAGAAATAGGGCAATGGAACTACATGCCTTTAGAGAATTACAAAAGGACTCTCACAGACAAGAATAATTTGTAACTTCATTTATATTATTTTGATGCAAAATGATAAATTAGTGCTACAAAAACAGCTCATTGGCAATTTTTGTTTTTAAGTAGGCTAAACATCCTTCCCAGAGCAAAGAGATCCTTGAATATATGAGAAAGTCATTTAAAAAATAATTTTGGTTAAAAATTAAAGAAACTTTCAAAGTTGGGTTATTATGACTGAAGAAATTGCAACTTAGTGCCCAACCTACATGTAATAATTTTTTCCGTAATTGGTTGGGCTGGTCCTTAGGCAGCAGACTCAATGTATTGTCAGGACCATACCTGAAGCCTTTCCAACATGATAAGACTTCTCAGAGCTAACCGTTCAGCTGGTATAACCTTCAATGACCTAGGGTAACCTCCACATCATATAAGATATTGGAGTAGGTCTCTGTGGAGGTAGTTCTGAAAAAAAACAACGAGGCACTGGAAAATACTTGTTAATGAAATTAGGCTTAGAGAGTCGGTGCTTAAAATATATGAAATTGCTTTTGGATTACTTAACTAGCAGAATTAATTTGAAAGCTGACCCCTTCCCCATACCCCTCCAAATAAAAATTGCAGTTTTCTTTGGCTGAATGCAGAGAGATAAAATTTTTGAAAGGTTTGAGGATATGAAGATAAAAAAAATCCTTGTATTGATTTGCTAACTTGCTCTTTCATCAACTTCTTTGCCTCCGTTACTTCCTTTCCCTCACTGTTTATCTTTATATCCTTAGGATTTCTGAAAATAAAGTGATTTATAAACTTTTAAGTGTGATATAATTATGACATAATAATCATTATCACTAGTGGTACCATTATTATTATTATTATTATTTTCCCATAACTGAGTTAAGTTCTCCCCACCCACCACTCTGAAATAACTTCAGATTTGCATTTCTCTAAGCCTGATTGACTAAGAAGTACTTTCCAATTACCCTATGATAAACCATGTATATTAATGAGAGCATAAAAAACTCTTCTGGGTCAGTTTTATTACCAACCACCTTGGATTTCTTGTATGTTTGATAAGAAAGCTTTTTATTGTAATTTACTTTGTACTGTCAATAAGGGGGAAATGATATGCTAAGGTAAATTTCATCTCAGCATTTATGAATTATTCTGATTCTTATTATGAAATCCCAAATATGTAGAGTCCAGATGAATGAATTTTAGTATTTAATCTTATCTCATTTAATTCTCCTAACAATTTTCTGAGATTATTACATAAGCATTAATACCATCAATCAATCAATCATCAAGCATTTATTAAGAACCAGGCATTGTGCAAGGCATTGAGAATACAAAGAGAAGATGAAAATATTCTCCAAGAGCCTCCAGTCCAGCCAGGAACATAATAAGCACATACAAAGGTATATATATAGAACACATAACAAAGCAGATGTAAATGTAGTAGGGAAGATGAGGCTGAGCATGTTACCAGGCCCCTTCTGGTGGGCATACTCTGTCTCCTTGAGAAAAGACACGCATGACCAGAAGCTCCTGGATGATCTGTGTGTATCCCTGTTGAAGTTTAGGGGCCCATACCCTGTCATGCCCATGATTGGGGCTATGTCACAAATGACTTGCAACTAAGCCAGGAAGAGTCATCCACTCTGTGGGCTGTAAGGAGAAATTCAATGTGTTCTCTTTGTCAGTCAACACTCTGTCCCTTGGAGGTGGGGAGTGGGGGGTGAGGGGGAGAAGAGGGAAGCTATGACAGCTACATGCACAAAGTACTGAGAACATTTCCTTGCCAGGGTGAGCCTGAAACTGGACCTCAAATCCTTGGCCACCTCTTCTGCTTTGTGTCCCCCCCCCCAAAGCACAGGTGATGTCACAACAATTCTGAAAGGTGGACAGAAGTTACCATCCCTGGCAGCTACCTCATGAGTTCAGGAGTCATGTACTGGTCAACTAGCAGGAGGTTATTTCTGTGAAAGTTTTTACAAGGGACTAAAAGGACTAAAAAACCTTGCCTGACTAGCCAGAAGCTCTGTACTTTGTGAGTTGCTCAGAAGTACAGGTCCAAGGTGAATATGAAATATCCGTTCAGCAGACTTACAAAATTTTTCTTTATCTCCCAGGAGGATATAATAGGTGATAGGTGTTTTAAGTATTTATTACTCACTTCTGAATCTTTTGTGTTTTATGCATTTTTTATAGTAGAGGAAATAAATATCTGTCCTATATCCAATATATATATACATATATGTATGTGTGTATATAAACATATATGTACGTGTGTATACACATACACACATGTATGTATGTGTGTGTGTATATATTATATATATATATATATATATATATATATATATATATATATATATATATTTAGTACCCTTTCTGGAAGGAACCCCACTTATCCCTTTTAAGAAAGATCCTGAACATGATGTAAATATCAATTGTAAATATTTTCTCCAAAACTCTGGGGTGGGGATATAAATAGGGATACATGCCCTTTGGGTTCAAGCTGCTCCAGCACTGACTCTAAGTCCATTTGAGACCTTTTTCTGAGAAAAGGCCCACCCTAGGTCATAAGTGCCAAGCCCCTAAGATGTTACCAAATTCCAAGGGACCACTGTACCTGAGCTCAAGGGGTACTGAGATCATTTGGGGAAAGGGAGAAGGGACTGATGCCAAAGAAAAAGAATAATTTATTCTTTTATTCCAATAACTGATTGATTTGCTTTACTAAACAAAAGCTTTATAAGAGCAGATCGATATTACTCAGGAGCAGTCTTCAGTCTTTCTGTCCATTATATCTGACCCCTCCAATTTAGTAGAACTTGGGCAACAAAACTTACTTGATTGGTTTGTAGGTTGGGCTTTTACAAAGAGCCAACACTCCTGCTCCAGAACCTATTAACACACTTCCCATCTTCAGACACTTGATAGCTGTGACTCCCTAAGATAAAAATACCATTATCATTGTGTGAACAGTTTTATTGTCAAGAATCAGTACAAGTCATTCCCTTGCAGAAATGGGTCCCCCAGATTAACAGGGGCTTGTTGAAGGTTTGTTAATTTAATTCAATCCAGTTCAATTCAAGAAACATTTATTAGCCTCCTAAAAGTAGAAGGCAATGTGTTGGGTCCTGGGGAAGCAAAGACAAAAAAAAGTCTGATCCTTGCCTTAAAAGAGTATATATTCCAATGTGGTAAATGTAGACTTTACAACAGGCTAGTTACCTTAGGAGGTCTTAATATCTGGTGTGTGAAGGAAACTTAATGAAAGTATCATTAAAAACAGTGCACTGAGGGAAAGTCAAACAAATTAAATATCACTGTAGGCATAATATTGTTTTTTGTCCAGTTATATCAGTTGTGCCTGACTCTTAGTGATCCTATTTGGAGTTTTCTTGGCAAAGATTCTAGAGTGGTTTGCCATTTCCTTTTCCAACTCATTTTACAGATGAAGAAGCTGAGGCAAACAGGGTTAAATGACTTGCTCAGCTATTACATGTCTGAGGCCGATTTGAACTCACAAAGATGAGTCTTCATGATTCCAAGACCAATGCTGTACCTAGCTGCCCCATAGGCATAATACTCTGAGAGAATTCGGTTTAACAGTTATAGAAAGAGGGTATTTCTGTCTTCCAGCTATTAGAAGCCTATCTATTCCTATCCTTGGCAACTCTGTTATTAGCAATTGACACCCCATTACACATTTAGCTACACAGACACACATCTAAAATGCTGCACTATAGCAACTCTTGAACTATTCTGCTCCTGCCATGACAATAGGTCTTGGAAGGGGAGGAGGCACATATGATTGGACTGAAGAAGAAGCTTTTTTGTTGTTATTGGGGTTAAACCTCTTTGTTTTAAAACTGATCTGTTCCTTTAAAAAGGGCACAATCTCCCAAACTTTCATTTGTAGCTCAGACTTGAGAATGCAGGCAGTACTGATTTTGCCTCCAAACCCTCAAGGGAAGCTGAGAAGGCTGTAGCCAGAAGGATGATCATACATAGGAAGTTAGTAGAGAGGAGAAAAGGATACTCAAGATGTACCCCCTTTGGCTCTCTTTTCTTATGGTCATATTAGACGAAGCAATTATCGTCCTCTTCCCTTGCATGTATAGCTACAATCAGCAGCCCTCTGTTGTTTTTTCAGGAATTGGGAGCATCCTGTCAAGGTGCGCCCAACAAGGACCTAGCACAGGTATTGACCAGGAATCTAGGCAGCATCTAAGTAGTGTAGTGGATGCAGTGATGGGTCTGGAGTCAGGAAGTCATGAGTTTAAATCTGGCCTCAGACACTTGCTAGTCGTATAACTTTGAATGTCATTTAAACTCAGTTTCCTCAACTGTAAATGGGGATAATAATAACACCTACTTTCCACAGTTGTTGTGGGTATCAAATAAGATAATAAAAAGTTGTAAAGTGCCTGATACATAGTAGGTACTATTAGCTAGTTATTATTAATGCCATATTCTTTGCAGAAATACTTATGTGTCTTCATTTTTAGGGATACTGTGAATCATCTGAAACAATTTAAAGTAGATTTACATGTTTATATGATGAAAAATTTATTATAATAAGAATTTGAGTCAGAAGTCATCATCAAGTCTAACTCCTTATTTTTATAAATGAGGCCCTGAAAGGTTAAGTGATTTTCTCAGGGTCACACAGGCAGAAAGTAATTCAATATAACAAACATTTATTAAGTATCTGCTGTGTACAAAGTGGCGGCAGCATGGCAAAAATGACTAGAATTAGAAAACTCTGGGTTCAAATCTGGCTTCTAATACATATTTGCTACGTGATCCAGGAAAAATCACTTCTTGGTGATAGCTCTCTATGTCTGTAAGTTGTAGAAGATTTGTAGGTCGGCACTGGTGAATAAAATTTCCACAAAAGGAGTTCTGTACACCAATGAAATCATAGATTTAAATCAAATGAAGAAAAAAAAAGTACATATGTACTTTACTTTACTATATGTAAATATGTGAGTTTATTATATATACCACATGTACAGTTATATCATAATAGATACTTTGGTACCTAGAGAGGTAAGTATTAGCAGAGAGTGAATAGGAAGCAATGAAAAGATCTGTGAATTTGGAGTCAGAGGTCAAGTTATAAACAAGTTGCTGATTTGCATCAATGAAATAATTTTCCACATCAAGAATTCCCTATATTGATGAAATCCTGGATCCAGACTTCTCCCCACAAAAGACAAAACAAAACAAACAAAAAACTGTCAAGGAGCTTACATTTGACTGCCAGGAGTTTACATTCTGTTGAATGTAACATAATCATGATTCAAACCCAAGTCCTCTGACTCCAAATATAATATTCTTCCCACTATATCATGCTTCTTTAAGCCTATGTTTGCAAATATTGATTAAATACTGCTCTCTTATGCAAAATCATATATTGAGTGGGACTCCATCTATTAGAAAGACTTGGTGGCTGTAAAGGGGTGTATCAGCGCTGCTTCCAATCTGGTCCCATAGCAGTGTTGCTAACACAAACTATTTAATGAAGGTGTCTTTTGGGATGCAATTTGTATGTGTCTATGAATGAAGCTGTACTAACTTTCCCATACTTCCTTGTCTTTTCCACTATTCTAGTTGTTCCGAATCTGTCCCAATCTTCGTCCCTTTCAGCTCCTTCATCCTATACCCCCATCTTCAAAACTTGCTCTTTCCTTTGATAGATCTCTTCCTCTTTTACCTTTTAGTGTTAAACCTCTCATCTTCGTTGGTTCGATTAATCCTAATGCCCCACAACCCTCTTTTGAATCACACTGGGATTGAACTTGAGGACATGGCTGCTAGAGTTTGTCGATAGCTCTCTGCAATCTTTGCAGGAAGAATGCTTTTCTAAAGACTTCTTACTTGTACAACATCAATACAATCTTTTGGAAAAGTGTTTAAAAATAATACAATCTATATCAGTTTAAATAGTTTAAGTAGCATTTCTTTTCCTAAGTGCCACAATTATCATCTGTTTTTTCAGTTCTTATGACCCAAGGATTCTGTATTTCACATCCCAAGATATTTTTCAACTTCTCTCTAAAGAAGCACTTATTGTTTAAATAATATAGTATTTATGAATCATTTGATTTATATTATTTTTCTTTTAATCCCCCAAACAATGCAGCTATCCCTTTTGTACATTATATCAACAAAAATTTCCATGTTAATGATGTTTGAGTATATTATGGTGATTCTGTTGTTTTGTTATGTTCCTTAAAATTGAATTCTGTTGTTTTTTTTTAATACATGGGGAAGAGGGAGAAAAAGAGAGAAGGAATATGTGCCTACACTTCCCTGGTTGGAGAGGGATGTGGAGGGTCAAGACAAATGATAAAAATCTCTTCTGTAGCCATATCCCTCTTGCTAGGCTTTAATACTTCAAGGCTCTGTAATTCCACTGTTTTAAGTACTCTCTCAACCAAACCAGATCAAAGGTTATTATGGTCAAAAAATTCATAACCCTGCAGCCAATCTGTTAATAAGACTCTCCAAATTTGGCTAGGCTGCTCCTCCAACAAGAGAAATCACTGGAACCATACTTGAAACCTTTCCATTTTTGTCAGAGCCTACTAGAGTTTGTGCTATACAAACTATTATATTATATTGTATTATATATATGATAATAATATATTATATTATATTATATTGTATATATAATCTACAAAAACTATGAGTTATTTCTATGCCATGTTGAGCCATCAGAGTAGGACATCACTGAAGATCTTCTGGCTTAAAGTGTTATTAAATTGTGACTAAGGAATGGGAGTGATGAAAGCTCAGGAAAGGCACAAACTATCAAAATGTCTCCATTCCCATAACTTATAGAAGTGCCACAACAAGATGGAAAGTGCAAGATCTCTTTCTTCAAGAAAGAAGAACTTTGGAGAGGTATCTCTCAACATTTATCTAGTGCCTCATTGTTGTAGGAAAACAAAATAACTAAACAAATCCTTCAGAATTGTAAGCTTAATTAAAAATTCTGCTATTTTGTTTAAATATGTTAAAACAATTAACAATTTAATTCATATTGTACTACTTCCAAGACCTTGTTTTTCCCTTAATGATTCATGCCCTTTTAAAAGTCTTAGAAATATCAATTTGGCAGCTGTGCAGAGAATGAATTGGAGAGGGAAGGACTCAGAAATAGAGAGACATTTCGGAAGCTGTTACTGAGAGGTGATGAGGGCTTGAATTAAGGTAGTGGCCATGCAAGTGGAGAGCAGGTAAGTAAATAGATAAGACTCAAAAAAGTCTTGCCAGTGAGACACGATGAAGAATTATTTATATTCTCTGTAGGACAAAGAATATAGTAACATGATTCCATAGCAATTAGAAAGTGTCATGAAGATGGTCAATGTGACCACACAGCCAAACTCCTCAGAAATTTGTTTTGGGGCCTCCAGTAAAGGCATTTTCAAATGTCTCTGGCTTAGTCTTGGAATGTTCTCCCTTAACAAATGAATAACATAAAGCACCAAGGACCAGTGATAAAGGAGAGCAGACTTAGTAAAATGTATATTTTTCAGGGCAAGTCAACTTTTGCAAATGAACTTAGAAAATTAGGGAATTGGACTAAATGATTTTTTAGGTCCTTTCCAGAATTAACATCATGATCTCTTATTTATGTTCTCATTAAAGACAGCAATTAGAAGGCAAAACTGTTAGGAAGAGCTGTTTGTACTCATGGACTATGTTATTTCTCCTCCCACTGACTTCTCAACTTCTTGTAATCTGGCTTCCAATCTTATTACTTGAATGAAACTCCTCAGTCTCCAAGTGATCTCTCTTTTGCTAAAGTCCAATGTCCTTTTCTCAAACTTCATTTTTTAAAAATTTCCCTGCAGTCTTTGACACTGCACAATGTTGAACACACTGCCCTCCTCCAATACTCTCTTCTCATTGGGTTTTCATAACTCCTCTCTCCCCTGGTTTGCCTCCTGTCTGGCTGCTCCTTTTCAGTCTCCTCTGCTGGAAAACCATCCAGGTCCCTCTTCCATGTGTGAGTGTATCTCAGATTTCTATCCTGGAACCTCTGAGATTATCTCCAATTTATACTTGTTTGTACATAGTTGTTTACATGTTGACTCTCCCAAAAGAATGTGAGATCCTTAAGGGCAGGGGCTGTTGTTATCTATCTTTGTATCCTGAGCATTTAGGACAGTGTCTGCCACATAGTAAACTCTTAATAAATGCTTATTGATTGTTTGATTGGACACACTTCTCCTCTCTCTTGGTGATCTCATCAACTTTCCTGGGTTCAACTATCATCTCTATGCAGATAATGGCCTTCCAAATCTACATATCCAGCCCTTATCTCTCCCCAGAGCTCTAGGGCTACATCTCTATCTGCTAGACACCTACATCTAGATGTTCCAGAAACATCTAAACTCAACATGCCTGAAACAAAACTCATTATTTTTCTCTCTAAATCCATCCTAACTTCCTTTTTTTCTGCTAAGGGAATCCTCATTCCTCCAGTTGCCTAGATTTATAACATAGAAGTCCATTCTTGACTTTCACTTTAACTCACCCCTACTCCCATAACCAATAGGTTGTCAAGTCTTATCTATTTACTTACCTGCTCTCCACCTGCATGGTCACTAATTTAGTTCAAGCCCTCATCACCTCTTAGTGACAGCTTCCAAAATGGTCTCTCTATTTCTAGGTCCTTCCCTCTCCAATCCATTCTCTGCACAGCTGCCAAATTGATATTTCTAAGAAACTGGTCTGACTTACTATGTCACTTCACTGCTCAAGAAGTTCCAGTGATTCCCTATTGACTTTAGGATAAGACATAAACTCTGCTTTCTGACATTTAAAGCCCAATCTTGCTCCAGCCTACCTTTCCAGGCTGATTACACATTACTCCCATGACCTCTGAGTTCCAGGAAAACTGGCCTGTTCCCAGTCTTTGCGACTTGCTCAGGGGTCCCCTAAGCCTAGAATGTATTTCCTCCACACCTCCCCCTCTTAGAATCCTTAGCTCCTTTTCAGGATCAGCTCAAGTCCCAACTCCTAAACCTGACCTCACCCACATGTTCCTCCCCACCCAACTCCCTCACTGGTAATAGTTTATTTTGTTTATTTTGTATTTACTGCACCTCTTGTAATTCCTTTCAGTAGAACATAAACTCCTTAAAGGGATTGTTTTGTTCTTGTCCTAGTAACCCAAGAACCTAGCCCAGTGCCCTATTGTTGTTTAATAAATGCTCAGTGAGTTGAATTGAGGAACAGAGCTAAATAGGTTCTACTCACCAGACTGAACTTTTCCTTGACAGGACCCATGTCAGCTAATAGTTTTGTTCTGGGGTTCATTTTAAGGATGTCTCCAGTTGTTGTGCCAATATAGAAATAACTATCATCTTCTGCCATCTGAGAAAGATAGAAGCAACAAAGATAAGATTCAGTTATCCTGACTTAGGCTAGAGTATGTCTTTAAGGATGGCTAAGCTTTCTGAAAAACCAACAGTGACATGCCGAAGCTGCACATCATTACAGATGTCTTTCCAGACTCAAAGAGAAATAGAAAGTAGTGAAGAACAGTTTTGAGAGTATGAGAATCAGAGTACTGTATAGACTGCCATAATTGGGAGGAAACTAGGTGGCACAATAGATACAGAGCTGGACCTCAAAGTCAGGAAGATTTGAGTTCAAATCCAGCCTCAGACATTAGCTATGTGACTCTGACCAAGTCACTTAATCTCTGTTGGCCTTAGTTTCTTCAACTGTTAAATGGAGATCATAATAGCAATTACTGTTGTTGTGAGGATCAAATGAGATAACCTTCGTAAAGTGCTTGGCACATTATAAATTTCTATAGTGTTTGGCACTATATAAATATTAGCTATGATGATGATGATGATTCCACAAGGAAATATTTTTATTTCAAATAAAGTTCACATTGTCTTTCAATATCTTAATTATGCTCAGAAAGTATCTCTAACAAGAAAATAGTATAGAACACAAATAATGCAATAGATATGTGATCTCACTGATATGGCTATTCCTTCCCATAATGCCCATCATGACCCATCATCCTGTGTCACTCTTGTCAATCACTTCCTATAAGTTTATGCAACATGCTTAGGGCCTTTCTCACTTTCTCTTGACATTGCAAGGATACCAGCAGAGCACATGGGATGTCCATGACTTTGTTTAGTGGAATACTTCTCTGAGAGAGATGAGCATTCACAATCATTCTAGACTTAAACTTGCAACTGTGGACACACTAATTCACTGCTTTATACCTCTATGTTTCAGCTCCCTCAACCCTAAGTGGAAAATGTCCACAGTTTCTTTGGGTAAAAATTTAATAACTATGCTCATTGTTTTATAGGTGGCAATGACTGTAGTCAGAGGAGGAAAAAATGTTAGTGAGAGGCCAGGAAGTATGATAGGAAAGTAAATAAGAATGTATTCAAGCAAGGGGAGGGATATCTCTTAGTGTCAAGAAATAAGCCCCTATTCAGAGGGATGTTTTTTGGTTGTTGTTCTGCAAGAGGTAGTTCTATTTATCTTTAAAATAAATGTAAAATATAAAGGGAAAGTGTTAAGAGGTGGATTTGATGACAGGATGTTACAAATACAGCATATCTAGAAGGCATATTCATTCACAAAAATGTGCTACATATGTATATATATACATACATATGTACATGCATACATACAACTACTAAATACAAACATGCACAAGAGTCTCTGTCCTCCGAGAACATGCCTACTTCTATGAAACATATGAAACAGTCCTTATACAACAAACATTTATTAAGCAGCTGCTCTATGCAAAGCACAAAACTGAGAATGATACAAAATTAAGGTAAAACATGATCCCTGCTCTAGAGCTTAATGTTAAGTACCCCAAAAGTGTCCAATTCAAAAGCCATGGAAGTTCAACAAAGGGGGGATAATTGGGCTTGAAGTCTCTCAGAGAAGGTGGAATTTAGGCTGGACTTTAAAAAAAAAGGATAGGGTTTGAACAGGCCAAAGAGGGGGAAGGGGACATTCCAAGTGAGGAAATAGCATGAACAGAGATGCAAGAGGAGTAGCATGGAGTGTTCTGATAACAGAAAGGAGACAAGACTTCCTGAAACAATAATTTCATCAGGGTGGGGAAAAAAAGGGGAAGGGGAAAGCTACATTAGCCAGTGGGTACAGATACAGCACAGAGACCAGGAAAGATAGAAAAAAAGGGAATCCAAATTTAGATCATGCTGACGGCATGGATACAGGCTGCATGAGCCAGGCTGGCTTGGTATAGGCTCTAGGTAATATTTACTTGATCCTGCATAAGAGATTGAGAGGAAAATGATGATGTTGAGGCTGCTTGTGATTATGATCCTCTAATATTCTGTCATGAATTTAATTGGATTGTGTCCTCCCTCTCATGTAGAGGATACAGGGGAATTGAATTGAGATTTAATACATAGCGTCCCTTGGAGGCATAAGTGGCAGTAGCATCTAGGTAAACACACCAAGAATTCTTGCTGCCTCATTCACTTTATTGTTAATTTGTATTTCTATTTCATTAAATGCCTTTGATTTGATTTCATGTCTCTTCTGTTTGTATCTTGATTTTCTCTATCTCTACAGACTCTGGGCTGACCCATACCAGTTGGCTATTATGAATTCTGTACACCCACACTCAATCCTTTTTCTAAACTGTCCCGTCCACTTTTTAGATTAGTCACAAGGAAAGAACATTTAACTATGTGTTGGTTGATATTGTCATGCCATGGGCTTACATCCAGCCTTCTAGAGATGTAGTCCACAAAAAATTCATCAAATGAGCAAGGATTTCCTAATTCAAAATACTTTCTAAAATGTCATCTGTAGTGTTTCCCTTGAAAAAACTATTTGTGTGTCATATCCTCATAAGTTCTAAAAGGAACTTGTGCCTTGTTTATACTTTGTGTCTCTTTCATGTCAAGCACAGTGAGTGCTTAGTAAATATTTTAATTGAATTTAATTAATGAAAGCATGGAACAGTCTTTTGAAAGACGCATTAAGGATTGGGTACACTAACAATAATCTTCCATGTTTCGTGAGTTGCCGTGACTGAAAAATTCATCAAGTGGTTGATAGCTACCTTCCCTGATAAACCACTTATCTAGACTCAAATGATACATATGCATTCCAGGGTTCTGTTGGCATTCATGCTTTGTTGGAAGAGTCTTCAAGAATCTCAGGTTACCTCCATTCCAAGAAAAGGCATCAAGGTAGGATTTTGTTAGGGAAGGGAAACACATAGAGGGTAAAAGGTTAAAAAATTACTAGAGGGAACAAATACAGCCAGATCCTTTTCACCACACAATTTTACCTTTATAGGACAAAAATATTGAAACCCAATTACCCTTTGCCTCTAATCATATAAAAATCAAGTCTGAAGGCAGCCCACAATAGCCACCAGTTTATATGTCAACAAGTCTTGAATGGGATAGTAATGAAATTTCTGAAGTGTGTCGGATATTGAAGACAGGGACACTGGAGAAGAGGCCACTACAATATTATAGGCATGAGGTGACGAGCAGTGGGGATGGCAAGGAAGGGACAAATGTGACATATTTCAAAGGAAGATGAAATTCTTGGATGATTTGTTATGTAGGTAACCCAGGAATTTGTTTTTTAGATCTAGATTCCCTCCTTAATGCACCTCATTCCCCCTAAGATAGATAGAGCTATGCAGGATGTTTCCCAGCCAAATGTTAACAATTTCATGCATAGGCAAGGCCTGAGTGGTATGGCACTTGCTCCCAGGAAATAAAGTTCCAGAAGTATATCCCAGTATATCTAGAAGCATATCTCAGTTGGGCATGAGATCACTTTCAAGAATCTTGTACTTAGGATCATGCCACTGCTTCAATATAGATTCCTGCTGCAAAAGACTCAGCTCAGAGGAATCCATCACTTCTTTGATCTCTCTGCTCCCAGACTAACTTTATTAAGAAGAGTTTTGTTCCAACTGGAATTATTCACTGAAATATCATTGTACTTACTGCAATACTTAGAACTATTCTTTTCATCTGTCCTGTTTGGCACTCAGTTGGCCAGATTTTCCTGTTTGGGAAATCCAGTTCCCATACCCGAATTGTTCCACTGAAACGAAAAACAAGAAATGCACAATCAAACTCAGAGCTGCTGAGGCTCAATCACAGTCCATTAGTGACAAATATAAAGCATGTCCCCTATGTGTACTATAGTTTCCCAAAAGATGAGCCAGATAAGATAGCTAGGGTCTGGGTTAGGAATTCCATGTGCTTCTCTAATTCTCTTTCAATAAACATCCCTGCCAGAGGATTAAATGTACAAAGATTCTACTCTATCAAGGCATTTATGAAGGTTGCATGTCCCCAACACCCATCTCATTTAAGTTAAATGCAATTATCTTTAGGCCAATTAGGAAAGGTAGGTTTCCTCCTCACGTTGTTACTTCAGGCCACATGAACACATAAATTCCATGGATTCATGATCTCATCAATGTGAGGGCTCTCCCCAAGGGTACAAATTTTAATCCAAATGTCCTTTTTATCCTATGGGATTCTGGCTCATGTCTTCACATAAATCCTATGAAGGAGTCTACTTAATGTGCTAGAGGGCCTTCTAGATATCTTGACATCATGTGGATACAATGGTACATACCCCCACACTCTTACTATGTAATGGGCACATTTCTTTTTTCAGTCACACATATGTCCAATGAGATCATTTATGCCATTTCTACTATACAGTTCTTCATTGGTAATGTGTTGCAATCCGCTCATCTCTATGAGCCTCTATCTATACTGTCCTTTGTGTGACCTATAACTTTAATTCTTCAGGGACTATGGTATTCCATGACTTATAAGCCACACAGACTTGCCAGGAAAAGAAGTGATACTAAAAAAAAAAAGGTAAGGTTTTGTCCTAGGGAAAACTTGGAACCATTAAGAACCCTATACAATTTCACAAATGTAATTCAACCTACTCTTATCCTCCTATCCAATTCATTATCTATTTGAAGGGTCTGTCTAAGATATAAGTATGAAAGCACTCATTCTGTCAGGGTACTTATAATTTGTTGAGTATAAAAAAGCATTGTGTCTATTTGTCATATGGGTTGGCTCTTAGGGAGAGGGTAGAGGACATATGGGATACGATGGTGATATACGAAACAGAAAACATCAATAATTTTTTTTTAAAAAAAGCAGTATGTACAATAAAGTAAAACACCATCTTAAAAGCTTTTCTATAAGGTATTCCCTATGAATATTTTAAAATCATAAAAGGTACCCCCCCAAAAGGTGTAACAACAGATATAACTTTGTTTGATAACTCTCTGTTTACTTATATCAAGGAAGGTGAAAAAGGGGGAGAATTAAGTTCTGTTTGCCACCGTCATGGAAGATTTCTTGCAAACATTCCAAAGATTTGGAATTGAAGGTTTAGGTTTCCAATATGCTCCTGTTTGCACATGGCAAATTGCTGATTATATCAAACCCTGGAACATTGTAGAGGCTCCCAAATGAGATCTAAGAAGAATTACTGAATCACTAAAAAGAGTTTGGCTTAGCCATCCACAAAGGAAAAAAATTAACTGAATGAAGAATGGTAATACCAGTATTCTTTTGGAGATGCTATATGGCTACAAATTATGTGATTTTGCAACCTATGAAGAGTCAGAATTGTGGGTAATATAAAGGACAATGGAGGGATACATGGCAGACATAAGTGGGGCACCACATATCACCAGCGATGCATTATGTGCAACAAGTGGCAGAGATACCACCCAGAAGTATCTCTCCATTAAAACAATAATGGGCTTTGTAATGCTTTCTTTTCTTTCCAGAAAAAAAAATTGATCTTGCAATGGGGAAATGCATATTCATTCACATAGATACAAACCAAAGCTTTTAGCTGAAAGCACTTTGAAATTGGTATATAATTTTTTAAAAATTATCTCATCAACTGTCTATAATTGATGGATTTGCCCTTTAATTTGGATACTAACGTGCTTTCTACATGAGGGGAAAAAAAACTATTTACAACTCAGAAAGTATTGAAGAATCTTACTTTCCAGCAGTAACAAACATCTCATCTCGGCAGTTGGAATAGATAATTGTTGTGGCATTCCCAACATTAAGGCCCGCTGCAGGACTGCCGCATATGGCATCTCGCTTGGTGACACTCCACACGACCACACTGCCAAAACAGAAACAATACTTCACCTAAGTGCAGAGTGTCTGAGCGGAATTAGATTAAGAAAAATGGAAACTAGGACTATCTTTAATCATTCTAGTATAAACTGGTTTCTAGCAGGAATTATTTCATTCACTGTATTTGTGTCCTCAGTGTCTAGCATAGTAACTGGCACATGCCTAACATTTCATAAATGTGTGTTGAGTGATCTCTGATTATTGAGAGGCCTGCTGGATGAAGATCTGGTCTTTAAGTCAGGAAGGCCAGCCTCTGACACACACACTGGCGGTGGGACCCTGCGAGAGTTACTTAACCCATCAGGCCTCTAGGTGATTCTTTATAATAATAAATTATCTTTATAATCACAAATTACAGAGAAGGGGTGGGCCTGCATTTATAAACGAAGTTTCCTTACCTGGGAGTGCCCTATGCCAAGGAAATCACAGGTCCAGTTCTCATGCCTATGTAGTGTTAGTACAAAATGAGGCATTAAACCAAGATTGCTCAGAAACATACTTTTGAACTGAAAGAGCATATTAAGAAGTGACTGAGTCCTTTGAAAGTAAAGATTGCTTACATCTAAAAGCAGTTTGCACTTGGCATAGAGCTTTCATACATATTATCCAACAAATAACTGCAACAAGCATTTATTAATCACTTACTAGGTGCTTTTAATGACAGAGTTGATCCAGGCCTAGCTTTAAAGGAACTTAAATAAATAACTCCAGCATTTTGAGGACTATTTTTCTGTCAGGGTATTTTTAAAAAGAGCAATGTTACTATTTTTGGTGTAGGAAAACTAGCCCTCCGCCATTCTGCTGCAGGGGATCCTTATTGCCTGCAGGACAAAAGGCAAACTCCGATGTTTGGCATTTAAATGTCTTTAAAACCTGACTCTAAGGTGCCTTTCAAGGCTTATTATCCCCCTTCATACGCTATGTAATCCAGAAGAATGGGCCTCCTATTACGGAGGACAGTTGTACTGTTCCCATGAATGACATTCCCTTGTATGTCTTTGCACATTCATGAGTAAGATGCACTCTCTCCTCACTGTTGCTTCTTACTATCCCCGCCCCCCCCGCCCCCAGCTCAGCTTGAGCCGCTTCTCCATAAGGTCTTTAGTGATCCTGCTCAGCAGCTAGCCACACACAAAAATGCTTTGTACAGGTTTTATACTTAGTTATCTATGAACCTCTTCTCTCCTTAGTAGCCCCTTGAAAAGGATTGTTTTATTCTTGTCTTTTTATCCCAAGCACAGGGCCTAGCTATGGGTACCTAATAAATGACTGTTGATTGACCGGTGGCTGAATTTAATTGTGAGGCTGATAGTGCAAATATTAGTTGTTTTCTTTTCCAGGGGAGGAAACCGAAGCTCAGAAAGGTAAAGGAGCTTGTCCACCTCATGGCAGCTAGTGAATGACAGAGCCAGGAGGAGAGCGTGGGTTTCTACAGACCCAGTTTTGTGCTCTTTTCACGACGTTCCAGCTGTCCTTATGAAGTATTGTGGAAGCAGAGAATTTCAGAGTTGGAAGGGACCTCAGTGTCCATCTAGTTCAACCCATACCTGAAAAAGAATTCCCTCTACAATATACCGGACAAGTGGTCATCCAGCCTTTGCCTGAAGGGGAAGGAAAGGGAACAAGCATTTATATAGTGCCTATTAAACACCAGGTGCTTTTTTTTTTTTTTTTAACAAATCTTATCTCATTTGATCCTCACAACAATCCGTGATATGGGTGCTATTTTTATCTCCATTTTATAGTTGAGGAAACTGAGGTAAATAAAGGTCAAATGACTTGCCCAAACTCACAGAGCTAGTAAATGTTTAAGCTATATTTGAACTCCTCTTCTTTCCTCTTGGCCTAAGACCTCCAATGAGGGGGAGTCTACCACTTCCCAAGGTAGCCCGTTCTATGTTGGAACAGTTCTCAAATTTTCCTAACATTAAGCCTAAATTCACCTCTTTACAATTTCCAATAAAGATTCTTAAGACTCTGGGAAACAACAAGTCTAATTCCTTATTCAAATGACAGTCCTATTGTCAATAAAGATATTGATTAAAAAAAACCCATCAGAATTATATACTCAAATAAGTGCTGTCCTTCAAAGTAGTGACCCTTAAATGTTATACACATATTCTAATAATGAATCCATTGTTCAAAATATTTTTTCAACTCTTATTTTTTCTTAAGAACCAATTTATAAGAAATGGGAAGAGTCAGGGAGAGGAGATGCACCAGGGAAGCCAGAACATGTCCCACAAATGAGCCTAAAGCTGAACAGCAACACAGGTTGGGGGTGCTACAAGGCATTAGGAGATCTAGCAATCAGAGACCTGAAGCCAGATCCCAGCCTGTCAGATCCTGGCCTGTCAGAACAGAAGCAGTGACAGAACCAGCTCTGTTAGATTGCTACAAAGGGACTCAGGGCTGTCACTGACAGACTCCTTGAAACACTGGGATCCACAGCAGGGGACAAGACCACCTCAACACCTAGGTGGGCTTGACACTTTGATGCTGACAATTTGATTTTCCTCTTCCTTTTAAAAATTGTTTATTTGTATTTATATTAAAATTTACATTATTTATTTATGTGTTTCTGTATTTTTAAGAAAATGGCTTCTAGTTTTATTTATCAAGTCAATGTTAATTTTGTTAATCTTCATTTTCAGAATTTCTCTTTTTTGGTGTTGTGTTGCATTTTTTTAAATGGTTGTTTTTCTAGTTGTTTGCTTTGGTTTGGTTGGACTTTCAAACGCTCCTGACAAAAAGACAAGAGAAGAATGGAAATTTTGAAATGCAAACACAGAAGTCAAAAGAAACCCAGAAAGGTAAATATATAAAGAGCTAAATTATGAAGTGCTTACATCCTACTATTGTAGGATTAGAATCAAGTGTCCCTTCAGAATTCTAAAATCTTCAAGGGACACAGAGGAAATTAAATAAGATAAACAAAGGGCCTGGGTGTGATTTTGTTCTGTTTTGGTGGTTTTAAGAGAGTAAAGAAAAGACAAGGAGAAAAGGAAGAAATGAGGAAGAAGAGAGAGGACCTTAATATTTCACATAAGTGGGGTGCATGAGATGAAGAGGATGTAACATGGAAAAATGAGTAGGGGAAGTGGGTATCTCATGACCTTACTCTTATTTGAATCAATTAAAGTAGGGTTAAGCACACATATGAGGATTTGGTGTAAAATACATTAAACTTAATGAGGCTAGAGATAGGAATAAAGAAATAGGAAAGGAAATTGGACAGGCAGGGAAGGAATACAAGCAAAGTAAATTTCAAGAATTCTTATAAGCTAGAAATGACAAAGTTTGGCAACTGACAATGTGATGGGGAAGGAAGAAGCAGTTGTTAAAGATGCTCCAAGATTATGAGGATATAAATTTGGAAGATGATGATGCCCTTAACAGAAATATAGAAATTGGGGGAAAGAGAGGGATGTTTTGGTCTCTGGTGAATTAATGAATTCATGCAGAATTTTTGGGGGGAGAAAAGACCTGTGATTTCATCAGTATAGGGGACTCCCTGGTGGGAGAACTCCCTCTAGCGATGCAGATCAGTAACCATTCCACAAATTAGTCTAAGAGAGTTACTGAGGCGCTGAGAAGTCAGGTGACTTGCCCAGGATCACACTACCAATATGTGCCACAGGAAGATTTGAACCCATATTTTCCTGATTCGGAGGGCAACTCCTCTCCACTACAGCAGTAGTTTACAAATTAGGATCCATAAGATGATCCACTCACATACAGTGGATTCCATTTATTATTTATCTAAAAAACCTAATTAAGGTTTACTAATATTTAATGTATGGGTTGACATTGGCATGTCTACTTGGTCTTATATGTCAGAAGGTTATATGTAACATCGTTCATGATGTATCCAGAGTGGAGAGTTGGAATTCCTTTGCTTTTTTCATATTAGAACATATTTTAGTTTATGTATGCCAGATTAAATGAATGTATGCATTTTGTGGACCTTACCCTATGAGTACCACATTTCACTGCATAATCATTGCAGATTTTATGCCAAAAGGGGGGGTGGGACCACTATGTGAAGCTTTTAAAAAATTGTGCTGGTATTAAAAGTTAAAAATCATTAATCATTAAAAATGATTAAAAATCATTTATTACTAAACTGTTTTTAGTGCAAGATTAGGATGCACAGAATACTTGTGAATATATATTAAAATTGGATACTGACAATGCGCAATTCTAGTCTTGCAGCTTGCAATGTATAAGAGATAAATGCATATCCATTTGCCACTGGTAAATACATTGCTGCTCTGTATACCATTTAAATGGCAGGACAAACAAAATCATACCATGTGACAATTACGTGATGAAAGACTACAAACCATTTTTGGACTGAAAACAAGGTGCGACAATTATGTGATGGCGACATTTATGCGTCAAAATATGGTATATTGTACCTCAAGACCTCAGGATATTAGCTAATATAAAATGACACTATTGTAATTAGCAAGATTTTAAAAACTAAGCCTTTATCGTTGAAAGATGATAATGTGTCATTCCTGCATACTTTAAAAACTTGGAAACAGAATTTTCTAACATGCTTAAAACCAAATGAAAAGCTTTAATGGGTTTTGAAAAACATGATTAAAAATATAAAAATTCAATACCTTTTGATTGATTTGCAAAAAAATAATTGATTTCAAGGAATATACAAATTTACTAGTTAAATTTCAGGGAAAAAAAAACCCTTTACCTACTTGATAGATAGGGATGTTTATCATGAAGACCAGCCAATATGTGAAGCTGGAGGAAATAGTACAGCCCAGCTCTCCCCCATAACTACTCCACAAAGATCTAGCAAACACATCAGACCAAGTCCTGATCAGGAAATCCAAGAAAAAAATCAGAGTTATTTTCCCAGCCCAGGTCAGCGTAGGGAAAAAAACATAGAGGCTTGTGAACACTGGGGATGCAAGAAGCTATATCATAGATAATAGTCTAGCACAGGGCCTAGACACAGTTTGCACCAGGGCAAGAAGTCACAGATGAAGAGCATAAAGTAGCCCGCCTTTGTTCAGGGAAAAGGATGTGGTACTAGCTGATCTCTCTGTAGCACATATCCCAGAATGGGGTCATAGACCGAGGGACAGCAGAGGGGAGGACCTGTGCCTATGGGTGGTGATGCTGCGCAAGGAGTGGTCATGGGCCATAGGCAACGTACCAGAGCAAGAAGCAAGCACAGAAGTGATCAGCAGCTGTGTGTCTAACCCTAGACCAGAATAGTATCTCAGATCCAGCCCCAACCCAGCCTGAAGTCTATAGAGGAATAACAGGGCAGAAAACCAGGCCAGAGGAGAGCATATAGCTCTGTAACACTAAACCTGTACCCCAGTCCAACTGGCAGATAGCAACTGGTTCCAGCAGCAGTCTACTGGAGCTGCAACCAGGAACAAATGTTCAGACCAAAACACAGGATAAATTTTTTTCAGAGTTCAGACTATGAGGGAAGCATTCAGAATTCACCTCAGATTAGATTGCTTTGAGAATGGTGAAATCTTGCAACTCCCCAGCTTGAGTTGTCCCTGGGATCCTCGAATAACACAATACTCAATACCTGAGAAAGCAGCAAGAGAAACCAAGAGGATATAAAATAGAACCAAGTATTTCTAGACATTCCTTTCAGAAGTGAACAGAGCCTGGCCCTAACACAAAGTCTGAAGTCAAGAAATAGGGCTCAAAGGATGAACAAATAATAATAAAAAAAAGAATCCAACCATAAAATGCTATTATGTTGACAGGGATGCTCAAACCCAAAAGAAGGGAATGATTCCAAAACATACAAGTAAAGCCTCAGAGAAAAACACAACTGCGGCACAAGTTCAATTAAAATTCCTAGAAGAAATGAAGAATTTAAATAAAGAATTGGAAAATTATTTTATATATGAAATGAGAATGCTAAAGGAAAGAATTAGAGAAGAAATGAGAACTATGGAAAAAAGAATTGGAAAGAGAATTAACAACATGGCACAAGAGCTACAAAATCTTATCTAAGCAACAGATTTCTTGGAAATGAGACCAAATAGAAATTAATGAACCCGTGAGGCAACAAGAAAAAAATAAATGAAAATGCAAGGTAACTCATAGCAGAAATAATTGCCCTGGAAAAAAAGATCAAGTACAGAGAAGATAAGAATCATTGTATTACCTGAAAGCCATGACCCCCTAGGGCAAATCCCCCCCCAAAAAAGAAAGCCTTGACATATTATTTTAAGAAATCATAAAAGAGGGGCAGCTAGGTGGCGCAGTGGATAGAGCACCGGCCCTGAAGTCAGGAGGACCTGAGTTCAAATCTGCCCTCAGACCAAACACTTGACACTTACTAGCTGTGTGACCCTGGGCAAGTCACTTAACCCCAATTGCCTAAAAAAAAACAAACCAAAAACTCATAAAAGAAACTGCCCAAATCTCTTAGAACTAGAAGGTGAAATAAAATAAAAAGAATCCACCATCCATCTCCTGAAAGACTCCCTAAAATAAAAACTCCCAGAAACATTCTAGCCAAAATCCAAAGCTTCCAAGCAAAAGAAAAAAAAAAATACTGCAAGCAGATAGGAACCACAGTCAAGATCACACGTGATTTCTCAGCCACCACTACAAAAAGAGTAGAAAGCTTGGACTATATTCCAAAAGACAAAACACACAGACTTACAATTGAGAATAACTTACCCAGAAAAACAAAGTATAATGCTATAGAGAGAAAATGGAAATTTAATGAAATAGAGAATTTCCAAACATTACTGATTAGACAACCATAGTAAGTATCAAGTATAAATGGAAACTTTGAAATATAAATACAGGAGTCAAGACAAGTAAAAAAGCTAAATATGAGAAAATAATCATAAGAGATTAAGCAAGGATGAATTGTTACACTCTAATATGGGGAATATCAGGGTAGCCAGGTGGCACAGTGGATAGAGTGGCCTGGCCTGGAGTCAGGAACACTCATCTTTCTGAATTCAAATGTGGGTATACTTTATAATGTATTTAGTGCACAACAGTGCATACATATAATTTAAAAATAAACATGTATTATATAACCTATATCAAATTGCTTTCCTCTTCAATGAGGGGAGAGGGGAGAAAATTTGGGACTCAAAATTTTTTGAAAATAAATGTTAAAAATTAGTTTTGCCTGTACTTGGGGAAAAATAAAATATTAAATTATAAAAAAATATGTGTCTTGGTGGAACTCCATCACATGAAACTGCCTCTCATTGAGTTAATTTTTCATTTTCATGTGTTCTATTCAACCAATTAAGTTCTGCCGCATCAAATAGATTACATATATCTAAGGGGAAAGAATCACATACTTTTATTACTTTTGTGTCCCTTTCAGTATCTGATAAAGGGTTTTGCATACAGAAAACACTTAACTATAAATTTGGTTACTCCCTCAGAAACTCCACATTCCACGAATTTCATCACTTAGAAGTTGAGGGGAAAAAAACAAATACATATTTTTAAACTTATTACCTTCCATCATCTGGACCTCCTAATGACACCAGGTATTTGCTGTTTGGAGAAAAAGCCAAAGCTTCAATTTTGCCCTTGTGAAGTGATAATCGAGCAATCAGCTCCTTCTTTGCATAATCCCACAAAATGACATCTGCCTATAAGTGAGAAAAACATATGATATATATACATATATTTCAGGGTAACAACAATCATCACTATGAAGATAGCTACCTTTTAAAATGGTAAAACAAAATAGGAACTTGGCAGGGCAATTTCTCACTAGCTTAACTCTTAAACCAATTTTCTTGACCTTAGATCATGTCATTTAAAAATGAAATCAATGAAACAACTTTTTTTCCAAAATAAAGTCCCAATTCCCTTCAAGTAATTCTAGCTTTAATCCCATACCTCAAAAAATATCTTGATATTATAAAGGACCTTATCAATTTGGGTCCTCCCTTTAGTGGTATCAATGGTGGCCTTGTTGTTCTGTGGGATTCTTCACGTAAATTTCCCACATTAGTCCCCCTATATTAAGGCCCTCTTTCCAGATCTCTCAAAATTACCAATGATGAATTTGTACTCTACATCTCTTATCCTCCATTCTTTATTTTTTTCTTTTCTGAGGTAATAGAGGTTAAGTGACTTGCCCAGGGTCACATAACTAGTAAGTGTCAAGTGTCTGAGGTCACATTTGAACTTAGGTCCTCCTCACTCCAGGACCAGTGTTCTATCCACTATGCCATCTAGCTGCCCCCTTATCCTTCATTATGACTCACTTATTTCTTCTGTTCATGCATAACTTTAATATCTTTAATGCTTCTTTTTGAGTACAATTCATCACTGGTAATATGCTGCAATCTATTTACATATACTATTATTTCTTCATTGACCTTTGGATGACCCTCAATTTTGATATTTTCTTTTTAAAGATTTGTTATTTCATGACTTAAGCCATATAGTATCGTTCGAGTACTACTGGTGTTCAAAAAATAAGTTATTTTTGTTTCAGAGAGAAGCCTGGTGTTGTCGTTGGACCAACTTTTATTAAGGGATTGTGGATCACAACAGAATCTGAAATGTTCTGGATTTTGAGGCAATCAGCATATCATCATCCATAACAGGAACATTTGCAGGACCTTATCATCTACAGGCAATCATTCTTTCATTTGGACTCGGTGTTAGACATCCTCCATGACAGTGGTAAGCTCCTTTGATGAACATAGCCATCTTTGTTTTATGTCTCAACTGCTATTAATAATTATGAAATCAACAAAATTATTTCATCTTCCAAGGAATCTTATAGGATTTTAACATATGCATGAGAGGCACTCTAATGGAGGGAATCCTTTAAAGCTGCATTTTGCTCTATCAACTCATATGCTTTTAAAAAATAATCACTAATTAGGGTGGACTAGCTTAATTGGATCCCACTTCAAACTTTCTATTAATTTATTTTTCCTTCTCCATAAAATTTTGCTGATGAATTTATGTTCTAAAGCTTCATTGTCCCAAACTGTCTCTCTGCATATATCAATAAAAATTATTTTGCTAAACTTCCTTAGGAAATAGTGATAATCCATGTTTATGTCTATTCCTTTGTCCATTTTTTAAGGAGGTATCAATATGCTGTCTGAATAGAACAGATTGGAAATACTTTACTTATACTTCTCATTTTCTTCTTTATTATACTGCAATTTCATATTAATTTTTATCTTTGCCTTAATAAATCAATGATCTGATTGCACACAGGTAATTAGTTAAGAAATTACTTTCACACATTGTCATATTCAATTAATAAGAGATTAATTTTGCTGAGTTGCCCTTTTTCCTCTTTTCTATTCTTTTTTTATACTTTTTAAATAAAAGATAGCTCTTAGAGGAGAGGGAGAGAAATATTTGAAAATGAAGGTGAGGTAGGTATCAATAGATATCAATAGTTTTTTAAAAATTTTAAATAAATGACTTCCACATGACACTCGTCATTTTTATTAAGATACAATCAATTTAATTTTTGCATAATGTTATTCGATGTTTGCTATATTCAGAGCCTCTCCACACTTTTCTTGAAGAATTCATGATGTATAGGTGTAAGACTTCTGGATATTCTACACACTGTTAGCATCTTTCATTTCTTGATCCTAAATTGTATTTTCTGACATTCTTTACCACCATCTAACCATGCTCATCTCGGCAGAGAGTAATAAATCTATGATGAATTAATCTGGAGTAGTATTTTTATTTCATATTAGCTTATTTGTACATATTTGTTGTTCTTGTCTTTCCTAATAGATTGTGAGCTCCTTGAGGGTAGTGACTATCTTTTGCATTTTTTGTTTCCCCAATGCGTAGCATAGTGCCTGGCACATAGTAGGCACTTAACAAATGCTTATTGACTGACTGACTATTGAGTTCTTCACAAATGTTCTGTCTCTTTATCTTCTATAACACATGTTGACACATAAACTGATTATTTTCATTGTGGTACTTTTGCTTATACACATTATGATCAATTCAAGACAAAATGACTAAGTGGCTCAAGAAATTATTTTTTCTTGTTGAAATTGGGCACATGATAGAAGGAACTCTGATAACTCTTTGATTTGCATCTCTAAGTCAAATATTAGCCATCCTTTCATTTAGCTGCAACTTTCTCGAGTTGGATTTAACTTGTTTTAATACTATTAAAATGGATGTGATTCAGTTCCTCCATAGTATGTCAATTAGTTGGTTATTGGACAAGGTTCTCACATTTAGAATATCATCAGCTTAGTTAATGTTTAGAGCTGGTCTCAAAACTGTTGCTCATAGCACCTTTTACTCCCTTTTCACCTGTAGGCAATCAATACAGAAAGAAAATGGGGCTACAAAGGACTGAGAGTCATCTTGCATTTTTCTTTGTTTTATAGGTTGCCATGGTCCAAGAATTTGTCACTTAGTAGCTAGTGATGAGCCCCTCAGTATTTAGCACATATAGTTGGTCACCAGGACCATACTGAAAGACTTTTCAGCATGGGAGACCCCACCAAAGTTTGTGCTACCCTAGGATCATCTTTAAGAGTCATCTCCATGCCATGATGAGTCACTGGAATAGGGCTTTCATACTTCCATAATCAACAACTATATATGTATACAGGTATGTACACATATATAGTTTATACATATGTACATATATTGTTATTGTTCAGTCATTCAGTCATGCCTGACTCTATATGACTTTGTCCGTGGCATTTTCTTGGCAAATACTGGTGTGGTTTGCTGTTTTCTTCTCTGGTTCATTTTACAGATGAGGAAGCTGAGGCAAAGAGGGTAAAGTGACTTGTCCAGGTCATATAGCTAATAAGTGTCTGAGGCTGGATTTGAATTCAGGAAGAGGAGTCTTCCTGACTCCAGGCCCAGCGCTTCAGCCACTGCACCATCTAGCTGCCTGTACACACACACACACACACACACACTACACATGTAATATATACATATAACATATATATGTGTATATATGTATGTATTATGTATATATGTATGTGTATGTAATTAAAATCAAAGACTACATGGCTCACTAGCCCACCGAGAATTCAGTCAGAAAGTCAGGCAAAAGGAAGGAGCAAAAGAGAAAGATCCATTGCACAATTTAATTTCTTCAGTACCAAACCTAGGATCTAGAAAAACTGCTCACTCCTTCTAGCAACTGACTACCCTAGGTAAGAAGCCTTTCTGTGAGAATTATCCTAAATGAATAAAGAAGTAAATAATGAAGCACTGTAGTATAGGATAAAGAACGCTGGCTCCTGGGTCACAGAACCTGAGTTCAAATGTTGCCTTTGATGCTTACTACTTTATGACCTTGGATAAGTCACTTAAACTCTCTGGACTTCAGTTTCCTCATCTCAAAGTGAGACGATTAGACTAAATGACACTTAAGGTCCCTTCCAGTTCCAGAACTATGATGTTATGCATGTATTATCCTTAAATTATTCACCTTGAACCCCATAAAGGTAACTTGTCCAGAAGCAACATATGCGCCATTTGAGGAGATAGTGACACAGGAGACATTATTGCCATGTCCATGTAGAAAATACTGCTTATTTGTGTTTATTGACTCAATAAGGACTGTGCAACCCAAAGGATAGACTAAGTGTTCCTGATCAGGATGGCATATCAGACCACCAGGAACATGTCCTAGAAGAAGCAAAAGAAAAAAAGGAGTCAGTTGCAGAAGTGGCTGCTATTGCATAATTACATAATAAATATAAATGGAACTGGTGGCCAGTGGCTATTGAGAGTATATTGCATGACTTTTCTGAGGCAACTACTTTAAGACAACCTCCAAATGACCAAGAATTGGGAGTGATGCTCCTGTTTCACTGGCAGAAGTGATTCTATGGTACTCAAAAAGCTTTTAGCAATAACACAAATCTTGATCTTTCTGATGATCATGGACCTTGAGTGCCTTGAGTAATTGTATACAAGGTCAGTTCCAGAAAAAAAAAATTGTCTTGTAGGTGAAATTTGACTTCAGTTAAGCTTCCTTTTGCCCCCAACACCCTCTCGCTATAAATTTACCTATTAGTGTCAATTTCAGTGTTTCCTAGGACTTTCACCTGTGATACTGACACACTGGCCATCAGTCCAAGACCAAAGAACCTCTAGAGTAGGGTAAGGGGTTCTTAATCTTTTCTGTGCCACAGACCCCATTAGCAATCTGGTAAAGCCTTTAGACAACCCTTCTCAGAATGTTTTTAAATGCTTAAAATACATCAGATTACAAAGGTAATCAATTATATTGAAATACTGTTATCAAAATATTTTTTTAAAACAAGTTCACTCATCCCAGGTTAAGTGCTTCTGTTTTTTCTTGAACCATTCCCTAAAGCTGGGGAAAATAATCTACTCAACTATGGAATGATCCCTGGGAAGCCAGGCTCCAGGACTCCACTGACCATAACTTGACCATCAGGTAAGATTTGATATCTCATCACTATATGCATATCTTCTTTCCATGATTTCTATCATGCTCAGGGACTGAAAATCAATTAACGCTGTCACTGATACTATGAAAAGGATAACAATCTGCCATTCTATAACTCAGCTCAGAATCCTTATGATTGAAAGTCTCAGGAGACTTGGGCCAAAGTTCCCTTCACTGGACACCACTCCCTATTCCTTCATATGTATCCATATTAGCCCCATACTTCATAGGCACTGGGTCCCTATCCCAGTCTACCCTACCTTTCTAATGTGTCTACTGGAATCCAGATTCTATTGTAAACAAATTTTATGTTAGACCTGTTCTTTTCCCCTTCCTTCTATCTCTTTGCAATCATGGAAATCTGGCTCCCTCCTCCCACCCTATTACCTAGAAGATATTGCACTCCTAGCCACATTCTCCATAACTGTATGTATATTCACTCATGCTTCGCATATGGGTATGCTTCTTTCCCTTCACCAATACCTGTAGATACTCCATCATCAATACTCAACCCACCATCAAGACTTAACAGTCTTTCCTTTTAGATTCACTTAAATTAAATACCTATTTTGTGCTAGACCTTACTTAAGGCACTGGGTATACAAAAGCAAAAATGAAACAGTTCTTGCTTTCAAGGAACTAACCTCTTATGGAAAGAGAAAATATTACATATGTAAGCATGTTTATAGCCAAACTATAAAGGACTTCAAATACCAAACAGAGTTTATGTTTGGTCCTAGAGGTAATAGGAAGCCACTGGAGTTAATTAAGCAGGTTAATAATAAAGTCAGTCCTTTACTTCAGGAAAATCTTTACATCCAGCTCATAAAGACCCTCCTTTCTCAAGGAGCCCAGTACCTGACTTACAATCTTCCACACAAAGGCATGATAATACCCTGGATCTCAAAATCTGGGCAAGTCACTTAACCTCTCTCAGTCTCAGTTTTCTCTTCTGTAAAATGAGATGGAAATGTTGCAATGGCCTCTGATACACTTTCCAGCTCTATATCTATGATCTTATGTTCTACCTCTACTATCAATAATTCTGATATTCCTCTATCTATAATCTTCTATCCTTCCTTCTCTCCCTTCTAGAATTTGTTCCTCAGCTCCCAGTTCATTGCCCTTGTTCTGACTTCATTTTCTTCCCTTCAAAAATCTTAGCCCTATAATAAATCGGTTCAACTTTACACTATACTCTACCATTGGGTCCCTTGTCTCCATGCTGTACTGCTGCTCGTCCCTTTCCAACCTCCTCCCCAACCTTTTGCCCCAATTTCTTCAGTCACCTTAGCATCATCCTCTGGTATCCAGCAACACTGGCCTTCTTGCTGTTCCTCCCACCAGACATTTCATCTCCTAACTCCATGCATTTTCACTGGCTGTCCCCTGTGTCTGGAATTCTCTCCATCTTCACCTCTGTTTCCTGCCTTCCCAGGCTTCCCTCAAGTCTCAGCTAAAGTCCCACCTTCTATAGGAAACCTTTTCTGATCCCCTTTAATGCTAGTGCCTTCCCTCTCCCTAATCATCTCCAATTTATTTTGTACATAGCATTTTTTGCATGTTAAAGCAAGACTGTTTTTTAATGTGCTTAGTGCTTAGCAGAGTTCCTGGCACATGGCAGGCACTTAACAAACTTTTACTGACTGACTAATCACCTTATTATTATAAATAATAATAGCCCACATTTACATAGTGCTTTAAATTTTGTAAAGCGTTTTACATATACTGTCTCATTTGATCCTCACAACAGCTTTGTAAGGGAGGCCCTATTATCATCATCCCCATTTTACAGATAAGGAAACTGAAACAAAGACCCTGAGCTGTCTCAGATCACATGGCATTTAAGCATCTGAGGCAGGATTTTTGAATCCAAGTTATCCTGACACTAGGTTCCATCTATGTCTATTCTGCCACCCTACTTTTCTCAGTACTTATCCTTCTTGATCCCTCTGAAGCCTGTGGCACTATTAACCTCTCCCTCTGCCTAGATGTCCTCCACTTTTGGGATTTTCGTGACACTGTCTTTCCTGATTGTCCTCCGACCCGTCTCATCACTCCTTTGGCTCTTATAAGTATCTTCATCCCTCCATGCCGGGTCTGACTTGGGTCCTTTTCTCTTCTCTCTGGTGTTGTAATTTCATCAGTTACCATGGGTTCAAATAATCTCTATATTCCTAAATCTATATGTCCAGGCATCATCTCTCCGCTGAGTTCTGCATTCCTAACTGCCTGCTGGACATCTTCACCTACCTATTCCACAGAATAGAGTAGGTGTTTGAGACTCAATGCATCCAAAATGGTTCATTGTCTTTCTCTTCATATCCACCCCTCCTCCTAATTTACCTGTTTTTGTCCAGGGCATAATTATTCTCCTAATCACCTAAGTTTCCAAAATAAAATTCATCATCAACTGTTTCCTCTCCTACCTCTCACATTCAATTAGTTGCCAAGTCACTGATTCCATCTCTACAATGTATCTCAAGTATTCCTTGTCTCCACTCATCCGTCCATCACTGTACTTCAGTGTTCTATCACGTCTTGACTGAACTATTACAATAAATCTCCTCATTGCTCTTCCTGCCTCCAATCTCTTCCATCTCCAATCAATACTCAACATCACTACCAGATTGATATTCCTAAAGCACAGATCTGACCATGTCGTTACCATGCTTAACAAGCTCCTGTGGTTATTCCTCTAAGATAGAATATAAATTCCTCCATTTGACTTTTTTAAATTCATTTTGTAAATTAATTAACTTATTTTTAGTTTTCAATAATCACTTTCATAAGCTTTTGAGTTTTAAATTTTCTCTCCCTCCCTCCCTACCTCCTTTCTCAAGAGGCATGCAATCTGAATAGGCTCAGCATATACATTCCTATGAAACACATTTTCTTTCTTTCTTTCTTTCTTTTTTGGCTAGGCAATGGGGTTAAGTGACTTGCCTAGGGTCACACAGCTAGTGTCAAGTGTCTGAACTTGATTTGAACTCAAGTCCTCCTGACTCCAGGGTCGGTGCTCCATCCACTGCGCCACCTATTGCCTACTATTAGACATATTTTCACATTAGTCATGTTGTAAAGAAGAATTAGAACCAATAGGAGGAACCACAAGAAAGAAGAAACAAAACAAAACAGGAAAAAAAAAGAGCAAATAGAATGCTTCCATCTGCATTCAAACTCCATAGCTCTTTCTTTGGATGTGAATAGCATTTTCCATCATGAGATTTCTGGAGATGTCTTAGATCCTTGCATTGCTGAGAAGAGCTAAGTCTATCAAAGTTAGTCATAGCACAATGTGGCTGTTACTGTATACAATGTTCTTGTGGTTCTGCTCACTTCACTCAGCATCAGTCCATACAATTCTTTCCAAGTTTTTCTAAAGTCCACTTCCTCATCATTTCTTATAGCACAATAGTATTCCATTACATTCATACACCACAACTTGTTCAGCCATTCCCCAATTGATGGGCATCCCCTCAATTTCCACTTCTTTGCCACCACAGAAAGAGCTGCTATAAATATTTTTGTACATGTGGATCTTTTTCCCATTTATATGATCTCTTTGGGATACAGCCCAAGAAGTGCTATTGCTGAGCCAAAGGGTATGCACATTTTTATAATCCTTTGGGCACAGTTCCAAATTGCTCTCCAGAATGGTTGGATCAGTTCACAACTCCACCAACAATGCATTAATGTTCCAATTTTCCCACATCTTCTGCAACATTTATCATTTTCCTGTTTTGTCATGTTACCCAATCTGATAGGTGTGATGTGGTACCTCAGAGTTGTTTTAATTTGCATTTCTCTAATCAATAGTGATTTAGAGCATTTTTTTCATATGACTATAGATAGCTTTAATGTCTTCATCTGAAAACTGCCTATTCACATCTTTTGACCATTTCTCAATTGGGTAATGATTTGTATTCTTTTGTTTGTTTGTTTGTTTTACTAGGTAATGGGGTTAAGTGACTTGCCCAGGATCACATAGCTAGTAAGTGTCAAGTGTCTGAGGCTGATTTTGAACTCAGGGCCTCCTGACTCCAGGACCGGTCCTCTATCCACTGAATGACTTGTATTCTTATAAATTTGATTTAGTTCTCTATATATTTTAGAAATGAGGCCCTTATCAGAGACACTGGTTGTAAAATTTCTTCCCCAGTTTTTCTGCTTCCCTACTAATCTTGGTTGCATTGGCTTTGCTTGTTGCAAAAACTTTTCAATTTAATGTAATCAAAATGATCCGTTTTGCATTTCATAATGTTCTCTATCTCTTGTTTGGTCATAAATTCTTCTGGTCTCCATAAATCTGAGAGGTAAACTATTCCTTGTTCTTCCAGTTTGCTTATAGTATCAGCCTTTATATCTAAATTGTGTACCCATTTTGACTTTATTTTGGTTCTATTTGGTTTTTAAAGTCCTTCCCAATCTGGCAGTAGCCTAGCATTCCAAGTTTACTGCCCATTATCCTTCTTCTTACATTCTGGACAAACCAGCTTCTTGCTGTTCCTTATACAAAATATTCCATTTCTAGTCAGCAAGGTGGCACAGTGGATAGAGCTCTGAGCTTGGAGTCAGGTCAGGAAGACCTGAGTTTAAATCTAGCCTCATACACTTATTAGCTATGTCACCCTGGACAAATCACTTACCCTCTGTTTCTCTGTATGTTTTCTCAACTGTAAAATGGGGATAATAATAGCACGTATCTTGCAAAGCGAAATAATATCTGTAAAATGCTTAACACAGTGCCTGGCACATAGTAGAAGGAGCTATATAAATACTTTTTTTCCCCTTTTCCACAGTTCCCTTTGCCTAGATTATACTCCCTCATCTCTGCTTCACAGAATTCCTAACCATCCTTCTAAGATCAGCTCAAGTGCCACCTCCTATAGGAAGCCTATTCTGATTCTTGAACCTAAGTTCTAGGTGCTAAAGAAGACAAAAAGTTTAAAAAACCCCCCCAAACCACCAAATCATGGTCATATGCCCTCATGAACCTTACAGTCTAATAGAAACATATAGACAATTTTAATATACTACATTAGAAAGGTTCAATGTACATTTGAACTTCAAATAGATAGACTAGTTAATGTATTTCAGTTATTTCAATGAGAAATTCCATTAAAACATCCAGAGTCAATGAAAAAATATTTCTCCAGCATTAAACTCTATAGTGCTTAGTGTTGCTATTCCCTCTAAAGCCTTCTAATATATAAAGTCCAAACCCTTCAGCATAGTTTTCAAGAATTTCTACTATTCAGTCCCATATAGTTTTGCAACCTTATTCCGCATTTTCCAGTCACAGGAAGTGACTTCCTAGTCAGGAAGACCTAGGTTCAAATCCTGCCTCTGACACATACTTGCTTTGTGACCACTGGCAGTGCATTTAACCTTGCAGTTCCCCCACCCCCACCCCCAACTCCCCCAGGCAACTCTAAGAATTAGATGGCATGGAGGATAGATTGCTGGATCTGGAGTCAGGAAGACCTGACTTCAGATATATAGCCTCAGACACTTCTTAGCTGTGTAACCCTGGACATCATCGTAAAGAGCTTTGCAAACCTTAGAGCACTATGTAAGTGTTAGCTATTATCATCATTATCATTCTAAGACTTTAAATTACATAGCAATAGTCTATCTGCATTTGTGGAAAGAATTTCCAAGCCAGCAGCCCACAATACAGCACACAGATCTGAACCAAAAAAAGAAACACCAAAAAACTTGCACGGAGGAAAGCACTTTAGGAAACTAAAAATTACAAGCACGGCATTATTACTACTTAGTTTAAAGTCTTCAGTATTGGAATTATTCCATTGAGTCTGACAACAAAGACCCCCTCCAGATGAAAAATACAAATTACCTGCCCTTATTCCAGCCTTCTTTACACCCCCCCCCCCACTCCATTCTCCTCACCCACAATCAAATTAGCTAGTTACCATGCTCAGCACTTTGGAAGGCAGAGAAAATAGACTAGATGAGTTAACAGCACAGTAGATTTTGAATTGGGAGCAGATAGGGTCAAATACGTAGCAGTGCCCAACCCTAGTAACTGGAGGAAAAAGTATAAATGCTTTGGGTCAGAAAGGACAAGCTTCAAAGGTAGAGGGCTGACGTTCGGGACTCCCAAACTGGAGAAGGTGCTTTAGAACAACTTCACCTATTACAAGGTCTTAATGATTTTAGCCCTCTCTATCCACCATCCTTGTAGCTAGTCCTCCGCTCCTCTTTATCTATCCGTTCCCCTCAGATCAATCAATCAGAGTTGGACTCCAGGGCTAAAGTCTGGGGCAAAAGGCAAAACGCAGGTAGGGCGCAAACTATTCTATATCTCAAATCCTCCATTTGCCACCGCAACCCTACGCCCATAGGTTTCTAGGCCACATAGGATCACCGAATTTTAAGAGTAAAGGATGTTAGAGCTGGAAGGGTCCTTAGAAATTATAAACCCAATACCCATTTTACAGAGTAGGGGCCACTGTGGCGAAGTGACTTTCTTAACATCCCTGCAACTGAGCCGGATAAGCATCTCTCTTCGTGCCTCACCATTGAAGCCGATCACTGCTTCAAGCTCCAGTCCAAGTACTTCAGACTCTGGCAGAGTCTCGGAATCCGCCATCACCGCAACACCACTAGCCTCTACTTAGCTGAGACTCACTGCCAGAGCACCGCGTCCCTCTGTCGCCATGGCAACGAACCTGCACCTGCGCTTGCGTACAAACCAGCGCCTCCAACCACTAGGCGGCTCGCATCTCTTCCACACCTGCAGATCTCAGGCCCTCTGCTTCATGAAAGGACTCATTCATCCTTGTGACAAGGAGTCAATCACAGTCCAGCCTAATTTTCGAATTTTTTTCCCAATTAGAAATTTTAACCTTCATTTTTTTTTTTTTTTTACAAATTTGAGTTCCAAATTCTCTCTGACCCTTCCTTTTCCTCCCCCATTATTGTGAAGGCAAGCAATTTGATAAAGATTATACATTTGCAGGCATGCAAAACATATTTCTACATTAGTCATTTTGTGAAAGAAAACACAGACAAAAAAAAACGCAAGAAAAATAAAGAACGTTAAAAAAAAAGTATGCTTCGATCTGCATTCAGATTCCATCAGTTCTTTTTCTGGAGGTGGATAGCATTTTTATTATAGGTTCTTCAGAATTATCCTGGATCTTTGTATTGCTGGGAATAGCTAAGTCATTCACAGTTGAACATTGTACAATATTCCTATTACTGTGTACAATGTTTTTCTGGTTCTGCTCACTTCACTTTGCAAAGTGAATCCTGCTCATCATTTCTTATTGCACAATAGTATTCCATCACAACTTGTTCCAACCATTTTCCAATTGATGGGTGTCTCCTCAACTTCCAATTCTTTGCCACCACAAAAAAAGCTGCTGTAAATATTTTTGTGCATGTAGGGAAAATTGACCATTTTAAAGCCAGGATTACACCCTAGAACTTGGGAATAACATCTGCCCTCTGAAGATGTAACCCAAAACCCAGTTTGTAAATGCAAGGCAAGTTGAGGGAATGATAGTAAGAGTGAGCTACTATGTCCACTCTCGGAAGTAGACCTAGAATTCTGATAACTTTTTGTTCATTATTATGGTTGCTTGGACCTTTTTGAAGTGGTCAACCCCTGTAGGAACCTCTGAGTTTTGGCTTAGTCTTCTGGTACCTTGACTTAGCTTTTGGTTTCTTCTCCTTCTCAGTCTCCTCTTTTTAGAGTCTTGACCCCAGAGTCTCCTACTAGTCATGGTTCACTGGCCCTGAGCATTAGGATGGCCCTGTCTCTCTATCTCTGTCTGTGGCTAAGGTGTAGGCTGCTCATGCACTGGGCTGCCCCATCTGCTCTGGCTCTGGATTGGGCTGTCTGGACCTTGATCTGCTAGAGTACTGGTTTGGCTCTGTTCTGTACTATAGAACAGTAGGAGAGGGCTGCCTGGGCTTGGTGCTTCCTCGGTTCTGATCTCATCCAAAGTCCGGAAAGGGCTCAGGCATTGGTTATCTGACTCAATGTTGCCAGGGTACTTGGCTGGCCCTATCCTTTGCTATGAGATGAGCTGCCTGGGCACTGTGCTACCTGGGTATTACATTGCTCAGGCATTGATGTGATCCTGTCTCCTGCATGATGGGCTCCATAGGAGGCTGCCTGGATGCTGTCCTTCTGTGGCTCCAGGCTGCTTGTGTGCTGTATCTTGTGACTCTTCTGGTTTACCTCTGCTCAGCATTGAGATCTGTCTGGTCTTCTTGTGCAGTTTTGGAGAGGATGGAGTGGTTTATAAAGCCATTTCTCTTAGCTTTCCTTTATCATTGTTCTATTTCACTTTTATAGCTTTACTAGAGTGTTTATGGGAATGTAGGTTCCCTATGGCCATCTCCCTCTGTTGCCATCTAAGCTGGCTATATAATTTTCAACAGCATAACAAATGTTGGTGGGTTACATAGAGCATGCTTATATATTTTGCGCCTGGTTTCTGACTTTCCGACCATATGGAAACTTGGGAGAAGCTGATTCCTGGCCAAGGAAGAATAAGAGGATTATGTGATGACCAAAATTTGATTGCACAGATGGAAAGACTGATAATTTATGAGTTGCTAAGCCAGACCTGAGTAAATGTACGAAAAGTATGGCCCAGTCCTTCATCTTTTTATTTTCTTTTCAGCTTTGAGGAAGCAAGATTGATTTGAAGAAAAAGTTCAAATCCTCTAGACCGTTATAATAAGTTCAAGAAGTTCTCTGACCAAGGGGCCTAGACTGAGACTGAATTAGGGCTTTGCTCTTTCTACCAAAACTCTTCCTTCTCAGGGTGTTAGCTATCTCTTCTCCAGGCACTCAGCTCTCTGATTCTGTCCATTCCAGTATTTTTATTCAGGCCCCGGAGGATGTGACCAAATGCTTCGGCTAAACTAAAAAGATTTCCTGTTGCACCTAGGGAAGTATGTAGGAGTTTTTCACCCAGTGAAGATGGAGTTATGTTTTCACTTGAACAATGTGTGAATGTGAACATAGTTGGTAAATGTTTTGTACATGAGACACTTTTAAGTTTAATCTTCATTATTAACCTTTTTCTCCAACACTCTCTTCAGTCTAAATAATCAACAAAACAATAAATCAAGCCCTGATTTGTAGCGTTTCCAAAGTGTAAGTGCTTACATTGAAAATGTGGGTATGACCAAGTGCTTCACCTAATCTAAAGAGAATTCCTATTGCATATAGGGCTATATCCAAGCTTTGTTGGTGCTTAGTGAACTAAGGAGATAAGTTCTCACTTTTGATAAATGTATCAGGCATGAGTGGTCAAGATGTATTCTCACCTGATTAAACTTCTATCTTCCTCCTAGTGGGGGTGAGGTAGTTGTTATCTCCCAGCTTAATGACCTTCACCTTTACAGCTGATTGATTTTATTACAAATATAAAAATAAGAACATTATATTGGTTGATGAGTGTGCTACATTTTCATTGTATATTTAAGATTTTTTGTGTTGTTCTAAAATTGTAATATAATGCTTAATTCTATTTGACCAAAATATGGGCTAAAATGATTTTTCATAGATTTGACTTATGCTGTGGGAGTGGTGATAATCTGTTTGGAAACCACCTCTTAGAGAGTTCCAGGGGTCACTGAAAGGTTAAAGGTTATAATCTTAACTAGTCTTTAGGTCACAGCTAGTGCTTATCCAAATATCTTCCTTTTGCTGAGGTCTGCTTTCCATTCACTTCTCCTTCTCCTTTCCCCTCCTCCATTTTTTGCTCTTTAAATTTTATTTTACATTTCATAGACTTAGAGATTTGGAGTTGGAAAGGCCTTTTCAGGTTTTCCCTTCAAATTTTGTCTTTTCACAGATAAGAAAACAGGCACTTAGAGGTTAAGTGACTTGCCCAGGGTCATGTAACACAGCTAGTAACCATCTGAAGGAGGCTTTGAATAAATAATAATAATAATATCTAACATTTATATAGCACCTACTTACAATGTGCCAGGCACTGTGCTATAAGTGCTTTACAATTATCATCTCATTTTATCCTCACAATAACCCCGGGAGGTAGATGCTATTATTTCCTCCCATTTTACAGATTAGGTAACTAAGTTCAGCGACTTGCCCCTGTCACACTGCTAATATGTGCCTGAGGGTGAATTTGAACTCAGAGCCTGGTTCTGGGCCCAGCGCTCTAGCCACTGCGTCACCTAGAGGCCCAGGTTTCCTTAATTACCACTCTGAGGCCTTTCCACTTCCTTTTTTTTTTTTTTTAAATTCCCCTTCCTGCTCGTGTAGTATAAAGGACAATAGATTTCATATTTTGAACCCCAGCTCCACCACTTTAAAACTGAGAACTTGGACAAAACACTTCCCCTTTCTGGACATCAGTCTTCTCATCCCCAGCACGAGGGAGCCATGATTTCTTAGGGCCCTTCCTTGCAGGCACTTCTCTATCCCAGGTCCTTTCTATTCACCTTCCCCGCTCCCAGCCCCGCCCCGCCCCGCCCCGCCCCGCCCCGCCCCCTTGTGGCGCCTCTAGCTAGACACACTCTCGCTTCCTCTCCGAGCTGCGGCTGCGATCGTCGGTGACTGAGCCATTTGGTCTGCCGTAGTCCGCGGCGGCCACCCGGAAGTTTTGCGGGAAGCAGCAGAGGCAGCGTCATGGCGCCGGACCCCTGGTGAGGACCGGGCTGAGGGTCCCAAGGCAGGCTCCTGGGGGGCAGGCGTGGGGTGGGAGGGCCGGGGCGGGAGGAGGACGCTCCCGCTGTGGCGGCTGGGCTGGAGCCGGGCGAGCGGCATCCTCCTCGGAGGAAGAGGGAGGAGGAGCGGGGAGCCGGCGAAGGCTCCCGAGAGAGAGAGAGTGTGTGTGTGTGTGTGTGTGTGTGTGTGTGTGTGTGTTGTGTGTGTGTGTGTGTGTTGTGTGTGTGTGTGTGTGTTTCCTACAGTTCAGCCGGTCGGCGACGCAGAGGAGGAATAGTAACAATGGTAATAATAATAGTACACGTATATAGCGCTTGCTGTGTGCCAGGCACTGTTCTAAGCTCTTTGCAATGATCTCATTTGCTTCTCACTACCGCGGTGAGGGAGTCAGGGGAGGGAGTGTTAGCATTATTATTATTCCCATTTTACATTTGAGAAAACTGAGGCAAACAGAGGTTTAGTGACTTGCCTAGAGTCACACAGCTAGTACGTGGCTGATTAGAACTCGGGTCTCCTGGACCTCCATGCCCTGGGCTGCATCTGCTGAGGCCACCTAGCTCTGGGTTCGAGTTTTTGTGGTCTTGGGGATGACCTTTTCATGGATAAGTGACCACTGATGAGAACAGCCCCCCAGCACTCCTTCATCTTAGCTCTCCTGCCCGGCTTTCGGAGGGCCCTTTGTAATCTGATTTTATTCACATGCGCTCTGAATTATTACGGTAATGTTCGGTGGCCCCTTGATATGCTTTGCTCCTTCATTTAATCGACAAGTCAATCAAATAACATTTTTTTCAGGCCTGTTCTATGCCAGACACTGTGCTATGCACTGGTGATGATACAAAGACCAAAATGGAAACAGTCCTGGCTCTCAAGGAGCTTACATTCCAAGGGAGGACACAAAATATACATATATAGGTGTAGGCAAAACATATAAGTCATGTTCATAGATTTACAGCTAGAAAGCCTAGTCCAACCCTTTCATTTTATAGATGAAGAAACTGGTCCAGGAAAATGAAGTGATTTGCCCCAGGTCACACAGATAGTAAATAGTAGGAATGGCATTTGACAAAGGTCTTCTGACTCCAAATCCAGAACTCTTTCTGCTCCCTCTGCAAATCCAATACACAGTAAACTTAGAGACGAAGGCTGTAGTAGTAGGACCAGGAAAGGACTCATCCAGAAAGTAGTTCTTGATCTGAGTCTTGAAGGAAGTCAAGGATTCAGAGGTGTGACTGTTTAGTCTTCCAGGTGTGGGGGACAATGGCTGCAGTGATAAAAGTGAGAAGGCCTCGCTGGGATAATTGACTATAACATGATCAGAAACAGGTAAATACAGGATACAAAGACAAATGCATATATGCACGTATAGGCAAAAACCAAATTGCTTCGTATTTTACCACTTCTCCCTTCCTTCCTATACCTTGAACTCCCCTAAAAAGTAAAAAAAGAACATATAATAGGTGCACAAAACTAGAGTTTGAAACTGAATAAGACACTTATTAAAAACCCACTAGGTTGGCATTCCCACAGGCCTGGAACAGCAGAAGTTCTTAATGAATCCTAGACCTAGAGGGCTGAGAATGAAGATGGTCAGGTATCCCATTTCTGACTCGGGGACTTAAAAATCATCTGCTTTTTGCAATCCTACAGGGGAAAGATGAGAGCCCACCAGTCAGTGGGATAAGAATGGAAGGAAAGGAGGCTAGGGCTAGTTTGAGCATTTCACTCCACTAACCTAACAAACTACAAAGGAGATGGGGTAGATGGGAGATCATTTCTAAGCATTCATTCAGTAAACACCTATTAAACATTCATTAAGCACCTATTTTGTGCAAGATACAGGACTCATCAAAAGTGACGTACAGAAAGAGTGGTAGCCCATGGGAAAGGAAGATAGATGAAAAGAGAACAACTTTGCAAGGAAGTTTTTTAGTCTTTAAGTATTTGTAAGGCACAATGTTAGGCAAGATGGAAAGATAAATAAAACTGGGTCCCTGATCTTAAGCAACATAAAATGTAGGGAGAAAGAAAATATATATGAATAGATGTAATTCAACAGACATACACAGTCCATATAGCCAAGACGCTGGGGGCACAGATTTTAAAAACAATAGTGTTCCTGTTGTTGAAGAGCTTATGTGGGGAATTGGGGGCAGAGAAGAATAGGAAGTGGATTATGATGTATAGCAGAGAAGTATACTATAAGGTAGGGAATGATGAAAACCAATAGTTCCACACAGTGTGCTCTAGAAATATTGAGGTTAAGTTCAGGGTAATTAAGTGTGTCTTGTACAGCAGTATCTATAATAATTTGAGGACCAGCCTATCTATGGAGAGATTAATCATGAAAAGATTGGCCAACAGGTAGTGAAATTTTTTTTTGCCTATGCTAACCTGTGAAATGGACAGGTACATAATGGCCCCCAGTCTTGTGTAACCCTAGTTTAGATTATTCAGTGATGGAAAAGGGGTAGGAAGTGCTAGGAATCATATACTTTTCAAACTATGTAATAGTAATAGTTAATATTTAAAAAGCACTTTAAGGTTTACAAAACACTTTATTTGATCCTCACAATCACCCTATGGAGGTAGGTTCTATTACTATCTCCATTTTTCAGATGAGGAAACTGAGGCTGAGAGACTAAATAATGTGTTTAGCTTCAAATAGCTAGTAAACATTTGAGCCAGAATTGAAACTCATTTTTTTCTGATTCCAACTCTGCACAATTGCCTTGGCTGTCCCACATACCTAGAATGTACTCCCTTCTTACCTCTACTTCAAAGTCCAGCTCTTTTAAGATACAGTTCAGGTACCATCTTCTGCATGAAGCCTTTCCTGATCGCAAATATTAATATTTTTCCTCCCAAACCTTGTATTTAACTACTTTGTGTATATTTTGTATTCACTTTTATTTATGCTGTGTATATATTTTTATATATGTACTTGTCTCCCCATTAGAATGTGAACTCCTTGTGAGTAGAGATTGTCCGTTTCACTGTTACAATACAGTGCCTGGCACATAGTAGGCACTTAATAAATGTTGATTTGATTGATCTAAGTCTGGCTCTCTATCCACTACATGCTTAGCTACTAATACAAACATCATCATGTGTGATTTTTCATCCAATGAACAAGAGTTTACCCTCTACCAGAGGAGGGGAACTACGTATTATCAGGAAGGTCTCCAATATGTTGTGTAGCTTTTCTACAGAATTTGTAGAAAGACATGAACAAGATTTGTGGTATAGAGGGGTTGTGATCTGTACTCATTGAAGGAGTATCTGCATATATAAATCACAGACTAGTCTTTTATAAGTAAATGTCACATGATTTCACAATCTGGCTTCATTCTACCCTTTTTAGCTTTATTATACACATTATGGCCTCCATGCACTCTTGTCCAGCCAAACTGGCCTTGATGTTCTCACACTTGACATTTTCCATCTCTGCCTTTATACTAGATGTTCCCCATGCCTGAAACGTGTTCCCACCTTGCCTCTGCCTCTTAGAATCCCTTGTTTGAAGGCTCATCTCAAGTGCTACATTTTACAAGAGGCCTTCCTTTCTTATTCTCCTCAGCTTCATACTACCTTCTCTACCAAGGTTACTTTGGTTCTGTTTTGTATATGTTGTTGTTCATTTGTTCAATTGTATCCGACTTTGTAATCCCGTGGACCGTAACAGGCCAATACTGTCTATGGGGTTGGGGTTATCTTGGCAGATAACTGGAGTAGTTTGCTGTCTCCTTCTGCGGTAGATTGAGGCAAACAGAGGTTAAGTGACTTCTTCAGGGTCACACAGCTGATAAGTGTCTGAGACAGAATTTGAACTCAAATCTTCCTAATTCCGGATCTAGCACTCTATCCACTGAGCCACCTAGCTGCCTCCATTTTTGTATGTACCTATACTGTATGTCTCTTTTGTCCACCTCCCCCCACCCCCCAGCATTTCTCCTTAGAATGTAAGCTCCCTGAGGGTAGAGACTTTTGCTTTTGTCTTTGTATCTCATTGGCTCAAAGAATACCTCAAATTGTGTGGAACTTGTAATGACATGCACATGTATAAGTCTCCCAACTTTTCTGTATACTCTACCTTGAAAAATTAATTGCTTTTTATCTCTATCACTTACCTAGTGCTCGATACGCAGTAGGCATTTATTTGAAGTGTTTCCTGTGGTGGAGATTAAAGAAAGTTTCATTGAGTTGGTGGCACCCGGGAAGGTCCTTGAAGGAAGTTTAGACTGTCAATAGGTAGAGATGAAGGGGGAGGGCCATTCAGGTATAGGGGATATATATTTCTTTACATTTAGCAAGTCCTTTAAAGACCTTTTCAAATTCCACTTCTTCAAGAAGCTTTCTCTGACTGCTGCCATCACTGATCTCACAGTATGTATAGTCTGTACTAGATAGTTTATAATTTGTAATTTAATAGCATACAATATTTGAGCTTAAAGGGGCTTTAGAGGTCAAGTAATATAATCTCTTCATTTTATAGATAAGTATAATCAGGCACATAGGACTTTTTGAAGGTCATGTTGCTCATGGCTGACTTGGGACTAAGTCATTTTTACTTAATTGAGTTTTCTTAAATGTATTGTTTGCTTTTCTTTCATATGTATTAGTCCAATTTCTAACTAGGTTTATGCACATGAAGGGAGGGGGTATGCTTTATATCTTTCTATATCATGATACCATGCATAGTGTTGAGTAATCAATAAATACTTTTTGATAAGTTATTGATCTATCTCTATATGGACAAGGAGATTGGTGTAGATAAGACATGTCAGACGTGACCCACAGGCTTTATTATAGCCCACAATACTCTTGAATGCATCTGGGACCAGATTAAAATAGAGAAATATTTAACAAAATAAAAATACAATAAAACAGTTAATAATCACATTTTAAAACTAAATCAATATATGGCCAACAGAGATCCTTATTTTTTTAAATTTTATTTATTTATTTTTAGTTTTCA